TACAGTAGTGCTAAAGTAACTAAAGGTACTAGACAGAGAGAATCTGTATGCATGTGTAGGTATACAGCATTGTAAAAAACAAAAGAAATAGTTCTTAAAACAGTTTGGAATGTTCTTTCAGATCAGTGACCTATAGAGTTAAGCTAGCTCACTCTCATTCTTGCATAGATTATAACAAGATCATGGAGAAGAAGCATTTTAGCACTTTAAAATACTTTATGTTGTTTGTTCTTTTTGTTTGTTCATTTTCTGAATATATTTCTGAATTGCTCTCCTAATTTACAGTTAACCCTAAGAATAATGAAATGCCACAGTTCCAAACAAAACCAAACCTAAAACAAAACAGAGAAAATAATCAGAACTCTCTCTCTCTCTCTCTCTCTCTCTCTCTCTCTCTCTCTCTCTCTCTCACTCATCTTTCAGGAACTAACATGATGCCCACCTAGGAGCAAAGGTAGAGAACATAAAGGAGTCTTTCTCCATTTCTAACAGAGTAAGACCAGTAGGATTTAAGCACAGACGCAAAGAGAAGGTGGGAAGGGACATTTGGAATACAGGCAAGTGAACCGTGTTCAAGATGTTTTGCAAAAACCACTCATCTGGAAGCAGGAATGGTGAGGGGAAGAGGCCCTTTGGTAGACTCTCCCAGTGCTCCACCAATTCAGGTCCAGCTTCTTTATTTGACCACAGAGCTAGGAAAAGGCAGGCAAGGGTCATCTGGGGCAGCCCTGCTAATTTGAAAAGTGCCCCATGAGGATGAAAAGCCGGGGCCTTCCTCTTTCTCCCCGCATCAAAAGTTAGACAAACCAAGGAATACAGCCCGCAGACAGAGGTGGGGTTAGTCAGTGGCCCACAGACTTTTGTCTTGGCAAGGAATGGAAATCCACCAGCTGTTGGTATTCTTTGCCCCAGAGCTCTTGGGCATGTCCTGCCTCAGGTCTGGCACAGCTGCAAATAAAAGCATCAAATGGCACCTGGGAACCTTCCCACCCCCCCCCCCACCCTCCCAATGAGAAATCCATTTATGGCTGCTGTGTGATATCTGCACTTACCAACTTAAAGCAAGATCAGCAACCAGCAGGATGGAGTATGTCTGTGAGCCACCTGTCAGGATGCAGTCACTGGCTGGAGTGATATCCCATGAGCCCCACTCTACTTTCGCTGTGCACTTCTTACATTCAGCCAATCGAGCTAAAAGCACGTTTCTAAAATAGCTGTAATTTCTGTAGGACAACCCACCAATGGCCACCTGTGATGGTTCAGCCCTGTGAAGCTTTTTGGGGCTACAGGTTTGCAAAAATGTGTTTGCGTAAGTAACCATTTTCCTGTTCCTCAGACATAGAAACATAGAATCAAAGAGAGTCAGAAGGGGCCTCCTGGGCCATCTAGTCTGACCCCTGGCTCCAGCCGGCTCCGCTCAAGACATGCCCACCAACTGCATGTGCAATGCTGGCCTTGAAATATTTGAGCAAGGACAGACGAGACGCCTCTTCATGTGCACCATCACTACCATAAATTAAAACCTGCTATTCACACACGGCAACGGGTGATGTGTTGAACTGTTTAATATATTATAGGACAGTTATGTTTTTCCAGCATATTTGTAGCAAAACAAACACTTGCCTTGCATTTACATCAGTGCAGGACAGGCTGTAGAGAAAGTACATCCATTGTAGAGCAGCAAAAGGAGAAACTTCTGCAGTGTGCTAAGAGGGGATGGGGGCTTCAGCAGTGATCCTTGGAACCAGACCCTGGGGGGACACAGGGATGGTCCTGTTTTGCTTGCCACATCCTCAGGGTGAGAGGGACCAAGTATCATTGTGATCCTGGCACCCTCAGATGTTACACAATTGCATTTCAGTAGCCACTGTGTAGGATCTTCAGGTGTCATTTGCGCATCAACCATATCAAAGACAGAAATGAAAAATGACAGTAGGAGACACAGCATACAGCATCCCTGCACTGCTCTTCCCATTTCTTTTAGCGACATCTTATAACTGCATCTCTTGGAAAGAAAGGATGCAAAGATGAGTTTATATAGTGCTGGGCTGAGGAACCCCTTTCAGGCCAAGTGCCAAAATCAGTTTTGGAAATGCTTAGGGGAGGAGGGCACATTCCAGTGGGTGGCACCAAAGGCAGAAAAGGCAGGGTCAAAAAGGCCAGCAAGTTTTCCCCGTGCAGCTTCTCTTGCCTTGGAAGAGGCATTTCAGCCTTCTGGAACAGGTGACCTTGCAGGGCCAAAGTGGGACCCCACACCTGTGATACCTCACCCTCATGTGGGTGGATGCACAAAATTAGCCTCTCCAGTTATTCCTAGTTATTCTTGCATGCATGTACTGGGGTACCCCAAAACAGAAGCCTGCAAGCCCTCATCTCATCAGCATATTTTGCTTCAGCTGCCTCTCCTCTCAAGATTGGGATGCAATTTGGCCTAACTGCATATCAGAAGAGGGGAAAGGCCTGTGTGTTCATGGAGTTAAGGCCCATCCCTTTTCCCTGCAGCCTTACAGTCTCGGCTGCACCATCAAGGTGCTAGCTGCACCCAGATTATTTCCACTTATTAAAACTAAATTAGGAAAATGACATTTGCAGGCATCTGGTTATCCTGACACAGTTTATTCTGTTCGTAAGGACAGCTTCACTGAATCTGGCTGTTTCTGCCAAAGAAACAGAAGGTGCAGTGTGCCAATAAAACAAGGGCAAATGGAAAGCAGGACAAGACCTGATATGGCTGGTTGAGGCCCTGGCCAGGGGCTGCCCTGGCCTCAGGCACTTCTCGGGAAACCTACCCTTTGGAAACGCTATCACAGCCGACTGTTGCGCAGCTCTTTAAGGCCACCCCACGTTGTCCAACGTGAGATAATGCCACTCCTAAAGTACAGTATCCACAGAGACCCTTTCTATGGTCCATTGAGCCAGGAAGTGGCATTGCTGATACAGCAAGAACACTGGCCCAGGCACGCCATCACCATACCTGCAAGCTCTCCTGCTCCATCCAGGTGCTCCACAGTCCACCCCATTTCTCCTAAAGCACAACAGGTGATATTAGCAGCTATATTTGGTACCCGTTATTCCAGTCTGGCATCTTCCACCTTGCCCCCGCAAGTAGAATGCCTTCCCTCCAGTACTCAGACAGTCAGACCAGACTCATTTTGGTGGCAGAGAAGTGTTTGTTAGCAAAGACTAGTAAAGAGTACATGGGCCAGCAGTTAAACATGCCAGAGGAAGTTACAGCTGCATTCCTCACAAGGACGAACCACACGTGCGTAAGAAAGAAAGCGGCTGAAGTAAGTGCATAGAGAAAAGTAGTCCCTTGCTTTAGGCACAGAGGGCCTAGGGAGATGGGGGTACTTTTTGCCCATGCATATAAGGAGATAGAACAGTGGAGAGGCAGAAGGGGAAGAGACGCAACACACAACATCCATGAGAACAGACAAGGAAGCAGCCAGGAGGCCTTCTCTCAATAAAGATGGCAACAGATCAAGCCAAGATCTTGTCCAGAAGAAATCAAGAGGGACCTGTACACCTTATTGTGATTCCTCTCCCATCGACAGCAGCGTCACAGACTGGGCCCCGGCTCCTCTTCAGACGACGCACTTCCACCCGCACAGTTCCACTGAGATGGGAGAGGCTTATCCAAAGAAGCTGCGAGCTCTGTTCCTGTTCTCCTCCATCAGCCCCCAAGGCGGAGAAAGATGGGGAATCGCAAGGAGGTGGATTCTGCAAATGAAATGCTGGTGCATGGCAGTGGACATGCAAAAGGTCAGCACCGTCGCAGCATGCTTTGGGGATAGTAGCAGCTGTTCCGAGCACAACCACCGAAAATTTCTTTGTGAGCTAAATTAAGCCCATAGGCCGTTGGTTGACCATTCCTGCACTAGGACATCACGGCTTCTGCTCCCCCTTCAACAGTATCCTCTCTGGCCAAGCCCTGATTAGCACAACAGGAAGAGAGCACTGTGCGCATCCAGGCAGGCCTTTCTCAGCTGCGCCACCTCCTCTCCCTCAGTCAGCAGCAGCAGGGCCGTGCCCATCCTCAAGCCTGTTTAAACTCGCATCCACAGCCACGGCACTGAGCTCTTTCCAGCCAGGATAACACAACACCTCCACAGCACACACACCACTGAAAACGCTATGGAGTGATGGCTTAGAATAGGAGCGATGCAAGAATCGGCATTCACACTGTCCCAGAGACACTTGTGTCTGCACTGCTGCCGCCAACCCGATCCCTTTTAAAACCGGACAAATATTCAATCCCTTCTTACAACACACCTGCCTTGGAGCAAATCCTTTAGTAGCTGCCTCTGCAGAAGAAGAGGGGAAAAACCTGTGCCCTTGGACAAGCCGCTGCGGGACACTACCTTCTAACTCGGTTATGGACTGAGCAATGGGGGACTTGCGCATGGAACGGCAGGCCCCATCACCTGCCAGAGCAAACCAAGCCATGTAGCAGAAGAGAAAGAGGCACACGTTTTATCCTGCTCTAAGTCTGAATACGCCTCACTTATAGCACACCTATTTCACGGCCAAGGGGAACAAGGGAACCGACATCCATCATGAGGCCAAGTGTTTCTTTCAGTCTTCGCAGGACTAGAACCCCCATCCTGAGCTTATACTGTAGGTCCACCAGCCCAATGTGGCTGTCACACTTTCCTGGAGAACACGGTTGGGGTGTGGATTCTCCACTATGGAGATACCACCCACTCAGCCCACGGCTAGTAGAAATGCACCTCGCCTCAGACTGGCCGTGAAACCCCCAGTGTGTCACGAAACAAAGTGTATGGGTCCCCCCATACATTTCGCCAATGAGGCCCACCACCACCCTCCAATGAGCCGGGCCACTCGGAGGCTGCAGCAGCTGTGAAGGGGATCAACTCAAACCTGGAAACAGTGCATTGAAGTCTTGGTGAAAGGCAAACAATATTCAAGGGAAACTGATGTTGAAGCTGGAATGATGGGAGAAAGGAAAGAGAATGAGGAACTGGGATAGGGAAGGGAGATGAGGAAAGGAGGCTGCAGACAGGGGAGGGGGGGAGGCAGCGACATTCTCAGGTAAAAAAGTAGACTGAGGACAGAATCAACAGAAGGGAGAGAAAGGAGACAACAAGAGGGCATGTTACACCAAGCATCCCACACTTAACAAAAGTGCCTGAACATCCTGGAAAGGAAGGCCCACCCATACTGCCATGCCTGGCCCTCGCCCAGCAGGCAAAACAGCCCCATGATCCACAAGGGCACCAGGCTCTCTGCTTTGCTGGACTTGAGCATCAGAGGAGAGAAGCAGGAACCAGACCCCTGTGGCCATATGCAAGCAGGTGCCACCATCCTTCCAGCGCTCGTGGTTCACAAACCGCTTATCCTGGTGTCCCTTGGTACTTACGTGCAATTGCGATCACCACAATGGCACAGATCACTCCCAGCATGATCATCATCTAGAGAGAAAAGTCTTGGTGAGACCACATGGAGCTATCCTGCAACGCCCTCCCCAGCAAGCAGGCCTCAGGGTCTTCCACAGAGGGGCCACTGACCATCATGACCACCTGCAACCACCTCATGCCACCACCAGATCATTAGTCTACCTAATCTAATGCAATATAGCCTCCGGAGTCTCCAACAAATGATTTTTCCCAGATAGGGATGGGCGAATCTGCTTTTTGCTTTCTATGACGTTTGCGCGTTTTCAAACATAAGTTCGCTCCATCGCATTTCTGTATCAGTGTGCACAAAAATCAATATGCATTTTTAAACTTATTATAGCATGCAATTTCCCCAGTGTATACTATTTTTCTCAATGTATGCATTTTTGTACACAATGTTCCATAATATATACATTTTCATACTCAATGTTTGATCTGAAAACTGCAATGCAAAATCTGGGAAACTGCAAATACCAAGGGATGGATGTGTTCTAGTCCATGTATTATTTTGGAACTGGAAATGAGGTGTGTATTTAGAGATGAATCAAGAGAATTCCCCCTACTCACTATCCCCAATGTTTCCTTCCCACAGAAATAACACGAACTGAACCTGGAGCCCTGCACATCCAAAGCCAACATCCCACTCTTGACACATGGGGTCCCCACTCACATTCCAACTCGGGCAATGAGCCACAGCTTCACTAAAAACTCACCTTACAGTTTTTCCACCAGTACTTTCTCTTGAGCGCAGCTGCACTGCTTTCAAATACTTGGGCGCCAGCCTGGAGTGCGTCTGCCCGTTCATCCAGCTCCGATAGCATCTGATCTCGCTTCAAGACTTTGTCCACATTCACACGCATAATGTCCACCACCTGAAGGGAATGGATAGTCAGTGCACTGGTCAAAAGGAACATTCAAAATCATCAAGAACCACTCGGGGGATTCATAACTTACTTCTTCCACTTGCACTTGAGTCTGCTGCAGACGGCGATTACTGGTCAGGTTTGGAGGTGGTCCAGGAGGCCCCCCTGCATTTTCTCCCCCCTCAGGCCCTGGGGTAGGTGGCTGAGCTGGATCAGACCTGTGAAGATGCATCAAGCACAAAGTGGGTAATAGGTAATTATGCTCCACACTCACACAGAAGCCACTCAGCTATGAGTAGCTGAATGGAACAAGACAAGACAGCTTGAAATGCTATATTACTTATACAATTAAAGTATAAATTACAATTATACATATTCTTAATGTTGTAAATCAGACTGGGTCCCAGTACTGGGAAGTGGCAGAATATTAATACATTAGGTATTATAATAATACTAGCGGCATAGAAGGTAGTCAAGGATAAAGTAAGGCTTTAAAGTGTGCAGAAAAGGACAAGTGAAATGACTGGGGGCGTTGGACACTTTTCTGTGAGAAGACTCTGACTATGTTTAGCTTTTTTCCCTTAAGCTAATAGAATTCCTTACAGGAAACATAAGAACTTGAAATAAGTAAATATGTTACACAGAGACATTTATTTCCTTCTGTGACAATGGAATTCCAGCTCATGTCATGGACTTGTTTAGCAACAGCTCAGACCCAGAATTAAGAATGCAGAAAGGGCCCTGCTGAATCAGTGCAAAGGCCTGCTTGCTCCAGCATTCTGTTCACACTGCACCACCCACATGCTGTGGAAAACACACAAGCAGGACACATGCGATTCCCCTGCTTGTGACCCCCAGCAACTGCCCCACAAAGGCACACTGCCCCCCCCCCCCCCCCCCACTGGTGCTACTGGCGATAATGTAAAGTCATTACAATAAAGCTATTGATGACTTTATCTTCCATTACTTTGTCTCATGCTCTTTAAAATTATCCATATTGGTGGACCTTAGTACATCGTGATGTAGCAGATCTCTCCATGCCCACTTTCTCCATACCATACATAATTTTATACACCAGTCATGGCTTCCCTTATTTGCTTTTTATCTAAGCTAAAAAACTCCAAATGATGACACCTTTCTTCACAGAGGAGCAGCTCCAGCTCCTCAGTCAACCGTATCTTTCAGGTGCAGTGACCAGAACTGCACATGGCATTCCAAGCATAAAGGCATCACAGCTTTGCATAAGGGCCTTTATGATATTGTGGGCTATAGTCCTGATTCCTTTCCAAGTGAACCTGAACACAGAATTAGCCATTTCACAGCAGCCACATACTGTGTTAACAATTTCGTCAAGCTATCAACCAAGCCCCAAGATCTTTCTTAGCTGGGCACTGTCTGCTTACATCCCATCCCCATACAAGAGAATTTAGGATTATTTTGTCCCAACATGCAGAGATAGAGATAGAGATAGAGATAGAGATAGAGATAGAGAGAGAGAGAGAGAGAGAGAGAGAACACGAGCAACACAGTGCTTGATTTCTGAGATTCAATAGTATAAAATGTCATGGGGATAACTAGCTGAGATGGCTCTAAGAAGAGGAGGTCTCTGTATCTGTTAGCTAAAATAGCTGCAAAGGGAAAGCTGCATTCAGGGCCAGAGGCTCACTCAGTGCAAGTCAGAGGGTAAGAGCCATCACCTGCACACACTGTATGTTACAGCTTTCCAGAAGTATTGCCTGGGCACTATTGGGAACAGAGCACGGGGTCTTTTGTCTGATCCAGTGCGGCTCCTCTAAAGCTCCTTAGCAAACGAGCAATGCTACAGAGCCAGCAACAGAAGGGATAGACCAAATGGCACAGAACTTCACATTACAGTAATGGATGGTTATGTGACAGCATTGTTTAATTCTGTGCCACCACCTCTTCTCCAATAGGACAATAAGAAGATGGCATGGCTGGTATCATCAGCAAGTACCAGCTACAATCCGGGAAGGAAGGCTCCCAATTCAACCCTTATCTCAACCACAAGATCTTCTGCTCAGTCTTTCCTCCCTCACCAAGTGTCCTCAGATGTATTGGACCAGGATTGTGGGAATGGCAGTCCAAGCTACCCAAGGGGGACCAGGTGAGGAAAGGAGACCTGCCTGAGGGAGCCAGAGGCTAGTGGCTCCCTTAGCATCTCTCCCCTCCCACCACTTGCAGCACAGGAATTCTGGCCATTCACCTATGGCCAGCATAACATGAAAACCATCATGGCTGCAGTTACAGCAGGAGAGCAAATGTTGCTGCAAACAAGGTCAGGAGGCTTCCGCACAAACAAGGGAAACGAGCAAGGCTCCAAGTCTGCAAACGGGAGGGACTGCTGTGTCACAAAAGACCAACACTGGCCACTGGGGGAACTGCTTTGCTGCCGTATGGCCTCTTGCAGCAAGTGACAAGAAAGGGAGGTTAGAAGGATCACTGTCTCGATGCCAGGTTCTCGGATGGCAGCCACCTGGGGAAATGGAGAGATTGCCAGAACCCCTCCGACCAGTGGCTAAGCTGGTATACTCTGCCGTGAGATGCTGCAGGCAACACCGCCGGGTGGTCGCGCCCTAGCCCATGCGTGGCCAAAAGCGAATGGATGGATGCATTCACTGGAGCTCCAATTTGCACAAGTCCGAAGGCAAACTTGCGGCTTTCTAGTCTGCTACCCAAAGCAGCGAATTACGGCCCCGCCCCCTTCTTTCGCTTTCTTCTTCGCCCAGCTCGATCCTTTCTGCAGAATGATCTTACGATCAATGCATAAAAGAGGCCCCCTTACATTTTGGAGAATTCTCCCAGACACTGCACCTCATGCAAGGCGGGTGGGGTTCCGCACTCCATCAGGCTCCCCCTGTCCGTGCCGCCGCGAGCGCACATGGCATTGAGAGCTCTTGCCGGGTCTCTGCTATCTCTGATAGCTTCAACAGCTGCCCTCCGAGTCGCATAAAAGAGTAGCGGTCCTCGCACACGCAAACAGCAGTATTATGAAGGTGCCTTTTATGGTCTTGCGGGAAAATGCCCCACGTCTCCATCGCCGTCCCGCTTGCCGCCCCTGCTCCCGCCACCGGGTCCGCCCTTCGTCCCAATAATGCGAGGGCAAGCAATTCGGTGTCCGGGGTCAGGAAGGGCAGAAGCAGCAAAGCCGAGAAAGACAGCGACCACGCCGTGACGCAGGCAGGCCACCACAGCAGGCACAAGGAAAACCGCGGGCGATGCGTAAGTCACCCCCGCTCCTCCCGCCCATCCCATTCCGGCACCGGACGATGGAAACGAGAACGGGGCGGGAGCGGGGCGCTCCGCTGCTGCAATGCGCAACTCGGCAGGTGCCGCAACCGCGCAGGGGAAGCAGCAGCGCAGAGTAGGAGACCGGCAGGTAGCGGCTGGCACCGACCCGCCTTACTCACATGGCCGGCAGCGGCTCCGGGAGATCGCCCGCCTCTTCTCAGAGCAGAAACCAGAGTCAGCGCCTGCGGGAACGTCCACCCGAAACAGCCTCTCCCGCGGGCGATCGCGAATTGCTGCAGCAGGAGCCTCTCCGCCACCCCCACGTTGTGTAGAAGGGGAGGGGGCGGCGCCCTCGACCTCGTCTCGGCACGGGAAGAACCAATGAAGAGCGCGCTCTCGTTATGCCCCTCCCATTGTTGCCGGCAAGGCTAGCGGACCAATGAGCTCTTCTTTTCCGCCTTTCTCTTGCCGCTAACTCGCCTCAGGAAGAGACTTCTTCGTCCAATAACCAATCACCGTCAGGCCTCATCTGCATAAATCCCACTCGGATATCAAGCCTGGCACGGCTCTCACACAGACCCTTGGGCACATTTACCCGAGAGTAATTCCCATAGAGTTCAATGGGGCTTACTTTTGGAGTAGAAGATTAGGATTGCACTGACAAAGACCAGCAACCAGGATCTGACTTAGTTGTGATTCACTCTGCACAACAGCGTGCCATCCAGGAACCAAAAAGAATAACCAAAAGTTGTCTTAATCTTTCTAATGCAAGTCCAATTCCGTGTGAGGTGAAAAATGGTTCTTTTAAAAAACGACTCGCAACGAGTCTGCACGCAAGCCAACAGAGCTGAAGGCTGCTGGATGGAACAGATTTGGCCTAAAACGGGTCTGGAGATCAACGTAACGAGACTCGCCATTTTTATAAAGGAGACCGGAATTGTGAAGGGTCATTTGTGTGTAAAAATCAAAATTAGCCTCGGCTGCGGGATCGACAGAGGGCTTCATCACAGGTCTGTCGTAACCCTCTATCTTCCGTTCGCGACCCCGCCCCACCTGCATTACGGAGAAAATTGACTTCGTTGGAATAAGACGTGAGTAGGAACGGCGTGAACTGCGCCCTTTGATGCTAGTTTTTGTTTCCGAGTGAACATGCTGCACATTTTAGCTAAACTAAGATGAGCTGAACTAATATCTGTATTTGATTTGGACTGCGATCACTTTTGTCCCGAAGGAGAGAAAAAGGTTTCTAATTTAGGCCCGGAAGTTTTCTATCCAGACAAGGAGATGGGTTATTTTCTCATCTCCGTGATGCCTCCTTGCTCATCTGCGCACACTTTTCTTATTGGCCAGGTAAATAGCAATTTCGGAGGCGACGTCCAGTCATAACCGCCGACAGCTGGGATGGGACGGACGGGGCTTCGCGAGCACAACAAAATTGCCGGTTTCTCTTCTAGACCCGCCTGCAGTTTAGTGCGCGATTCACGCCCCCTGCGCACGTGCTTTAAGCACTTCGTTCCGCCCTGCGTAGGAAAGAAATTCTCCGGCAGGCGTCGCCCCCTCCGTATGCATCTGAGAGCTGATGCTGTAAAGTCGTGGCAATTGTGGCCTAGCTCCGGAACCGACGACTAGGGTATAATTCTGCTTCTCAAGCAGAAGAACCCAAGGTCCGGTGCTGATTCGCAACACAGCTGCGACCTCTGGCTGTGCTTCCTACTTCATCCACTATCACCTGTTCCCTTCCCACTTCCCTGCTTCCCCTTGTGCATGTTCCCATCGTTTTGAATGTCTTGCTGGTAAATTGTATTTCCCTGCTCCATATTTATTAGATTTCTGCTCTGCCCCAAAGCCAACATTTTCTGGCCACTGGCACAGTAGGTCTGTCTTACACAGCGAGGTTCCTTTCTAATGGCGTCTAAATCTTTGTCCCAACTGACGTTAAAGCAACCTTTAGAATAGGGCTGAACAAACTGCAGTGGGAAGTGTCCTTTCTTGGAGTTTCCATTGATATTAAGAGTGGCGTTCTAAGTACATATGGTTTCCTATTGCTCCGTGTATAAGCAGCTGGAAATCCAAGGCATGTTTTACAGAATACCTTTCTTTTGAAATGAAGAGGACTAGAGACTTACAGTAATCCATTTACTTGTAAAAGTATAGTTGGATAGGTTGGGTGCTGATGCTGTCTGCTGCTCTCAACATCAAATAAATTGCCAAGATAGTTGCTATATTCTAAATTGTTTACTTTCCTTCTTGGCATGAAATCTGGATTGTCGATAGGGTTGCCACAAATCCTGGGGTCTGACTGAAGTATGAGGGTTTTACAGAGCAATCCAATGGTCCTGTCTCATTGCAGCAAATTTCCCCATGCACTATATATTTGGTAATGCATTGACCAAACTGTGTGGTATGGGCTAAACTAGCGTTTCCCCCATGTGTTTCCCCCATGTGTTTCCCCCAGATGTGCTAGACCACCGCTCCTTTCATCACCGCCATATGACCAATGGCAGCTAGTAGCACCAACTCAATCAGATCATAGAACAACTGAACTGTGCAAAATGACAGAGGAGGGCTATCCAAGCCAACCTGCATACAGGTAACTCCCCACCCTGCACCTGTGAAACCACCAGGGAATACATCTCCTGAGATCCAACTAGATCCTTCATTCCAACTAGCAGAACACTCATGACTCCTTTTGCTTTGCAGGCTCATAGCCCAGCTACATAAAACTGAAAAGCCACTTTGGACATACAAATCTCTTACAATTTCCTGTCCTTTTGCAACAACAGTTTTTCTCCCAACTGGTGAGTCCCCAAATGCAGATAGTAGGAAATCACCAGTGGTGAAATGAGATTCAGGGAAGACCAACAGATGAACACTTGGGTGGTAATCCAAATGAGAACAGTGAGGCAGTCAGTTGGGTTCCCTTTATAACTGTGCTTGGCCAGCAGTTTGTTCCTGGGTGCAATTAAAGGTGTTGATGTTGACCTTTAAAGTCCTCCAACTTCCCTTGCAAAAACTCCACAGTGGAATTCTCTAAAATGACAGAGCAGGTAAGATGAAAGCTGCACAGAGAAATTAGGAGAAATTAAATCTCTCCTGAATGCTTTGAGGTTATTCAAAAGCATAGTAACACAAGCTCAGCCAGAGCATATCCTGCTGATCATAGCACAAAGAGGTCACAAGCATGGTTAACAAGCAAGCTTGAGAAAGCTAAAAGAATGCTTTCTTCAGAAAGCAGAGTCTTACCCTAACAGTGAATTCGTAAAGGACTACAGACTTGCGTAAGAGATAGCAGGCAAAAAGGAAAAAATAATAATTTGGGAGAACATTTTGCTAATAACTTTAAACCAATAATTTTTAAAAAATCAAACAAAAGCTATACTAGAACATAACCAAAAGCTAAAGTGGAAATAAAGTAGGGAGGCAGTTGGAGCATCATCATCATCATCATCATCACATTCCTCTACCACATTCCTCTATAGCCATAGCTCTCTGGGAGACTCACAACATTTTAAGTCAACCATCCAGATTTCAACCAGGCCTGACCCTGCTTATCTTCCAAGATTAGGCAGACTCAGATACTTCAGGCTACAAGGAAGCACCAGATGACAAAACAGAGATTGCACAGGAGCAGAATGAATGTGTTGTATCAGCCTTCACTGCAGAAAGTGCAGGGCAGATACCCATGTCCAAACTAATATTCTCAGGAAAGGAGTCTGAGGAACTGAGCTATACAGTGGTAACAAAAAACATAGCCCATTCATTCATTACGTTTATATGACACTCAACAGGCAAACCTCTCTGAATTGGTTTACAAAGATTAATACATGACTGAAATCATTCACAAACATATATCTAAAAGCAATTTAAATAATCAACAAGATCTGATTAGAGCCTCATCATATGCTGCAAATGCCTGAAAGGTATTGACAAATTGAAAGCTAACAAATCACCAGATAGTATCAATTTGAACGTTCTTAACTCAAATGCAACATTGCAGATCTTCTAACAGAAATCCATGATGTTTTCCTATGATCAGCCTCTGAATCAGAGGACTGGAGAGTGGCCAATGTAACACTAATGATTGATTCACAGAGAGCAGGGAGAGAGACCCAAGATATTACAGGCTGACCTGTCTCGGAGCTTAATGTCTGTTTTGGAAAAATAGTAGGAAATACGAATAAAGATAACATCAAGCATATAGTAGTCTGTGTCCTGTTAAAAAAAATCAGTATGGCTTCTGCAAAACTAAGTTCCCCCTAATTAATTTTTAAAGATATTTATGTCAGTAATCATGGACAGTGGTAGTCCAGTAGAGATGGATTGGGACTGCAAAAGGGCTTTTGACAAGTCCCTTATCAAAACTCCTGAGCAAACTTAATATTCATGGGATGAAAGGAGAACTCTTCTTACAAACAGGAAACAGATTAAACTAGAAAGTAGGAATAAGTGGAAATTCTCACAAAGGAGGGCTGTATACAATGGGATCTGTGCTGGGATTTTTTTTCTACTTCTACATAAATGATCTGGAGAGAGAGATGAGCTAGAGAGAGGTGATGATACCAAATATTTAGGGTCATTAAAACAAAAAGAGATGGTGACAAACTCCAAAAAGGATTTTTCCAAACTGGAAAAGGGAACATTAAACTGGAAAATACAATTCAGTGTAAGCAAGTGTAATCCACAAGGGAACAAGAGGAATCCTGACTTCATGTATACAAGGGGTGGGCAGTACACAGGCTACATGTGCACTGCAGACAGTGTGGTCTAGTGGTTAGTGCTGGACTGGAATGCGGGAGTTTCAGGTTCTAGTCCCTGCTCAGCCATGTAGCTCACTGGGTGACTTTGGGCCAGCCACCGACTCTTAACCTAACCTCCCTCATGGGGTTGTTTTCATAAGGATGAAATTGAGAGGAGAACCTTAGTTCATTGACAGAAGAAGAAATGAAAACCATTATTTGATACAGGGTATCAGTTAAAGCACCTGATGTGGGTGCTCCCCATCAAGCAATTAGATATCCCAGGATGTCTTTTAAATGCCTTGGCATACAGGCTGTTATAACCTGGCATTGTGAAAGGGTCACAAAGTTGGCCCAAGATGCCTCAGTAAAGAGATTATCCCACAGTTTAAAAAAGTAAAATTCCATAGCAGGAGCTGATTAGGAAGGAAATCAAAACTGTGACTGCCAATATCATACATGTCCTTATTCAATGCTCAGCCACCACACCTCAGAACAAGTACTGTACATTTTGGAAAGATGCAAAAAGGGGTTACCAAAATGATTAAGGGGATGGAATGATTCTACGAGGAAAAGTTACAAAATTTGAGACGGTTTATAGTTCAGAAAAAGGCAAAGTAGGACAAGACATAGTAAAGGTGTACAAAACTATGCATGGTGTGGAGAAAGTGACTAAGGAGATGTCTTGCTCCATTTCTCATAGTACTAGAACTCAGGGTTGTTCCATAAAGCTGAATGATGGAAGATTCAAGACAAAAACCGGGATACACATACTTAAAGCAGAATTCGCTACCACAAGATGTGATGGCAACCGAGCAGCTCTGAAGAGAGATTGTGCAAATTCCTGGAGGGGAAGGCCATCAGTCGCTAATGCTGTGATGGCTATGCATTATCTGTATGATAGTTACTGGGAGGTACAAGCAGGATGCACTGTTGTGTTCACATAACCTGCTGTATGCTTCTGCAGGGAATTTGGTTGGCCTCAGTACAAGCAGTAAGCCGAACCAGATAGATCTTTGGTCCAATCTGCACAGCTCTTCCATATATGCCTGCCCTTTCACCAAGATCTTCAAAAGGGACCCTTCTTTCAGGTGCAGCAGGTAGATACAGGGGAGAAGGCCTTACTTGTTGGGGCAACTTAACTATCACACTCCCCCCCCCCCCCCAGGTTGACTCTCCTGACCTTAATGTCATATTGGCACTAAAAATGACTTTGAAAAGCGAAATTCTATTCCTAGTATTTTGTGAGTTTTTGAAACCTTTTCCCGTCTTTATATACTTTCATATTCTGCTGCTTTAATGCTTTACTGTTATTTTAACTTTTAAAGCTGCTTTAGAAACTTGAAGCACAAGGTGTCAATTATGGAAATGCTTAATACATAATTTCATCTCCAAAAGGGCCAATAAGCTGTAGCTGAACATGTGCCTATTATCAGTGTTGATTTCTTCCATCTTGCCATGACAGGTCTTCATACCATAAGAGTGGTATGAGGGCTGGACAGTGGCAGAGTGGTGTGTGCTCATCACTTACAGTAACGTTGGAGTCATAAATAAGCAGTAAAGTAGTCCAGAACAATAACTGAGAGAGGCTTCAGCTTGGCATTTGGAATCCCAGTGCATCAAATACCTTTTATATGCAGTCAGTTTCCTTGCGTAGTACTTCTCTTTGAAGAGTCCATGCTTATGAAATATTACTAGTGTGATGGGTTGCATTTGATGTGAAAATGTGCTTGATTCAGCTTAAATTCCAACACTGCACGTTCTGCCGATGTAACTGGAGATCTTGCCTCTTTTTTTCCCTTTCTCCAACCTCCGGATTTGCTTCTGAGGGTTCCCAACCCTCCAGAGCAGATTTTTGGAGGACTCAAGAAACTGGGTATATTTAGAAATGTGTTCTGCCAGTGGTTCCTGTTCCTTTGGCAGAACAATGCCAGATTCCAACCTTTGCCATTACCATGATTAAGTGATCCCTGCTGGGCTTTAAAAATGCACGCATAATTCTGGGATTTACATCATGATGCCCATGGGCCCTCACTATGTCCAGAGGCCACCTTTCTTGGCACGTGTCAGCCTCCCTGCTTCTCAGTTAAAAAACAGCTTGGGTGGACAGAAGCCAGCTCTGCCTTTGGTCCTCAAGTGGTCCCCAGAGGGATTTTTAAAAAAAATGGTGGCCAGCTGTAATCAAGTACTGGGGGAAAATACATAGATAGACTGGGGAGTGGGGAGGAAGCATTTCTGGGAGTAAAAGGGGGGGGGGGAGCAAGGACTGTGTGTTTTGCCTGCATTTGCTTTTTATGTGTGTATTTCAGGTGGTAGATGTGTTTTGTGAACTGGGTGCTGGAGAAGGAAAGGTTCACAAAAGTGATTTGGTGCATTGACACATACATTCCACCACTGCTTTGTACTAAAGTTTGAGAGCAGATTGCCCTTCCCTCAGCCTCACCAGTTTGCCTTCTGGGAAATGAATGTTGTCCTGAGCATACAGCTGAAAAAAGCAAATACAACAGCTGTTTTGTGACATATGAAAGTGTATAGAAAAATGCTGTGAAGCATTACAGAGACTATACAGCAACTATTGTGAATTCAAAAACACAAACATGGTTGAAATAGAAGAGGGGGTACAACTCCAGATATTAACCAGAAGACCTCCAGGAAAAGAATTTCAGCACATCGTAGAAGAATATATTAGCAGATGAAATGGAAGATGTACAACAAAAACGTATCAGAAATTAGGATCAATTGTATGATTTTCACACGCAGCTGTCTCTGCACAGTAGGAAGACAAATGTTTTCCATAAATGGACGATGTTCTTAAAAACAGATGCTTGTTCTCAAGAAGCAATTCTTAGCGACGCTTTCCAGTGCGGTTAAAACGCTTGAACAAATATTTAATCCTCTTGTTCAAGTTATGGTAATCCTCAATAAACATTCGATCACCAACCATTTTCTTTTTGCGGATGCATCTCTGCAATTCATTCCCCTGCCAGCCACGTAACCACTTGGGACCTCGGATCAGGTGCTTAGGGTGGGCTAAAAAATCTCCTAAAATATAGAGAGATCCAATAAAGCAAAAAGGGAGGTTAGATTTAAGGTCCATCACTTTGATATAGAAATTGTGAATAGGTTAACCAGCCATTCTTTTGGGTTGCCAATGTCCTCCCCATCTATTTTCTAAGGAATCCCCTCCTTAACAAAATCATTATGTCTTTGTATAAGTAACAGTACCTTTCCCTTACTATTTCTAACTAACAGCAAACACACATACACCTCATGACACTCTTCCCTTCCAACTTCCAAAGAAGGGGAAAATATGTCCCATTAGCTTCCTGCTGACTGGAATCAAGGTTCACAAGGACAGCCAGATAACAAGGAAAAGTACTATTAAACACACTATATTGGCAGAAGAAATTTAAGAGACAGTCTCAACTGAATAAAATGGAGGATAAAAGGGAAGATGCCTAAGATTAAGAGGAAGGAGAAGTTTGTGAGCCATGAGAAACATAAATTTGAGGGGGAAAGGAAATTTAGAATTAGGAGGAAAAATAATGCAAGTAAAGAAATACGCAACATTTAAAGAAAGAAAAGGTGGGGGTTTTGCTTATATCATTTACCAAAACAGCAGCTGGCTTATGTAGTTTGCTTCTCTGTGGCACAAACTGGGATGAAATGTGATCCAAGCTATTAGGCAGGAAGTCTGATCTGGTGGGCAGCTCAGCAAATGTAATCCAAGGACTGTTTACTGGCTTTGTGGCTTTACCAAACTAGAAAGGTGGCAGTCAAATCTGACTGCTATTGCTCTCTTCAATTTTAAATTGCATCGCAACTTCCAAACATCGTATTGCCTCCCTGGAACTGCAGAACTGAAGGGAGATACATTGGAAGGCTCCACCCCTGCCTCATAGGAAGATTAAGGCAAGGGAAAGACCAACCTCATCCCATCCATTGGTCATGCTGTTCTAATGGTCCCAATGCTTGCTTTTCCATTCCCTCTCCATTTCTTTCTTCATGTATCATGTTTATTAAGTTGTGAATAAGTGGACAGGGACTGATTTATCTTTTAATATCTATATACCTCTTAGGCAATTTTAGTCATTCTGTAAGTATTAAAATACACCACAATCACCACCAATGAGCAAAGCGGCGGGAATGTGAAAGTTCCATGGGTTAAATGCTTGCCTATTTCACATGGTTACAACTGACCCGTCTCCCCCCCGCCACCCCCACCCCAGTTTGCCAAAGCTTAACTCAAGAGACCTGGTTAACATATTTGTTGCAAGGTTAGCCATTAGACTGTTCAACCTAGACTGCTCAAGTTAACCAATCATAGGTTGTTGAGTAAATGCAGAACTGAAGAGTGCTTTCCACATCCTCTTGTGCAAACTGCCTCAAAGTCACCATCGGCAACCTGACAAGCTTATATCTGGATTCTTAGTTCTCACTGTAAAACAAAACGCTAGTATCAATTCACTGCTATTAACATGCTGCTCAACTTGGTGCACAAGGAGTCAATCCAGTTCCCAAGGAGATTTTTGTATTTATCATTTAACAGATAAGTGTTTGGTGTTTACCCAGAATTCCAATGTTGTCATAGACTCCAAATAGTGCTCGCTTCTCTGTCCATCGATCAACTTCTTTGGGGCGGGGGGGCTCCCTCACATGGAATGAGTGACAAACTCCTGGAAAAGGAAAAGGCAGTTAACAAGACTTCCACATGTGTCACACCTTTAGAATGCTTTCTTTGGGTGCTCATAGTTCAAGCTGTCACACTACATATTTCTCATAGAAGTCCTTATCTGAAGCTTATGCTGGAAACCACAGAAGTCAGTGTAATGCAGTGGTTAAGAGTACAGGAGTAGGGATCTGGGAGCGCCATCCCCATTAAGCCATGGAGCCAACTGGGTAAATTTGGATCAGTCACAGACTCTCAGGAGTCTACCTGCCTCATAGGATTGTAGTTGTGAAAATAAGATTGTGAAGAGGAGGTGAAAAATTATGTAACCTGCCTTGAGTTCCTTAGAAGTCAAGGTGACAAGATAAAAATCTAATAAATAAGTCCCATTGACACCAAATGCACATGCACTTTAAGAATTCCAATCTACAAGCAAGAACTGTCTCTTTTTTAAATGAAAGTCACTCTGAACTCCTTTCAGCTGAAAAGTATGGTAAAAATGCTTTAAAGTAAATAAACACACAAAATAGGGATACAAGCTATTCAGAAACTGTTTCTAAGTAACAAATATCTAGAAACAAATTTCATTCAGCAAGCTAAACAGACATGCTCCTAAAGGCAAGCAGGGGGTCAGCCCGACTTTGGTGATGAGCGATCGACAGCCCAAATCTTCCCTCGGCTTCTCTGCCCCGGTATCCCCCGCCGACTCACCCGGACTGGCCAGCTGCCGAGCTTCGGGGGTGAGAAAGCTGCGGCCGAAGAGTCCCCGCGCAACCGTGCGCAGGAGCGTCGTGGCAGCCATCGAGCTCCCAGCTTGCTAAAGCACTTTCTCCTCGCACAAGCACACGCTCGGGATCAGGAGGCGGCCATCTGAAAACTTTCCCAGAATGCCGTTGTGTTTTGCTTGACGGGAAATAGACCTAACTACTATAGAGATAGAAAAGGTTCGAATTGATAGACGTGCGATCTCTCTCTCTCTCTCTCTCTCTCTCTCTCTCTCTCTCTCTCTCTCTCACCCACCCACCCAGTACATGCGTTTCATACGCTACGTAAGCTATTAGGTCACCTAATACACATCTAATGCATCAATATATCAATGTAGCCACACTCCCACTGCTGTTAGCTTTACAGAGTCTTTTCCCATGTCTATTTCTTATCTGCTCAAGATTCACATAGGTTTGCCATGTTCTTATTCCCTGCACATTTGCAATTTTCATGGTGGGTATAACCAGTTTCCACTGTCCCTTTGATTAGTGCATTGTCAGCGGGGCTTTGTCATAGAATGCACCGGAACAGCGTTCCGGCACTTTTTTTTTCCAATGGATTTTACGAAGTGATTTTGAATCGGGCGTAGCAGGTCAGCACCAAACATCATTAGTATAGTGCCTGCTTTGTGTCTTTTGTGTCCCGTGCTGATAGTGAGTGAGCGCTTACTGCAAGCGGTGACTATTATGTTTATGTATGTGTAGAGTGACTGGCTTTACACTAAAAATCTTTTTTAGTGTAAAAGTGTGACCCCAAGATGTGAGTTCCGGCACCTTTTTTTTTTTTTTTTTCAAAAAAAGCACTGATTGTCAGGCTAACTTGTTAGCTGTGGGTTACACAAAGTTCATTTTGTTCTTATCCCCCCTCCTTTCTGGGACAGTATAACTGGTGTTTTTGCTATGTAGCCTCCCTCTGGCCAACTATTCTTGGGGCCTTCCTCTGGCCAACTATTTTTGGGGTATTTTGGAATGCTGCAGTTGGCAACAACTGGGAAAGTGTAGCTTTACAGTGGAGCCCACGAATAATTTTGCAGTCTATGGGCTGAAACTGGTCTGAATTTCTTGCTAAAACCCTTACAAAATACTCTTCAAGTTTCAGCAAAGGCCAGTCTACCTAACCCGCTTCCCCTTCAAATAAAATATGTTCCTCAATTTTGTGCAAAAGTCTTGTTCCACTGATGTATAGGCCATTGAATAGTAATTTTAGTGTTTTAAAAAAATTAAAAAAACACTTGTGTTAGATTATGAATGCTAACCTTCCAACTGCGTATATATAATATGTATTATATGCAGGATAGAAAGAGTTGCATATCCAAAACAAAAATAATTTCCATTTCCTATGACTTACAATATATTAATACAGCGGCACCCTCACTCTGCGATATCAGAATAAAAGTTTCTATCGGTAGGCCAATTTTTACTAATAAAATAAACATCGTTTTTTCATACAAAATAAGACATCAGAAGAAAATGTTTTTGTTGCGCCCCTTTGTTTCTAAGTGCGTTCCCCGCTGCTTTTAAAATTCCTGGATAGTTGAGTGTTTTTCGCTGGAAGCTCCAATTTCTGCGCCGGAAGAAACGAAAATAACGTCAGAAGGAACCAAAAATCTCTGACTCCAGGCTATGAGATCGCGACTCTTCATTTTTTTCGTATATCTCATTGCCTTTTCTTCTAGTAAGGTCGTTGTTGCGATATTTGAGTACAGGCCGCGGGGTGGGGCGGGAGGGGGGGGAAGAGAGAATTTCCTGGATGTGATTGGCTACCGAGCTCTACTCTTAACTAGTAGCCTGATTGGGCGAGCGGATATTATTCGAATCGCAGGCGCGCCTTTTCTCAATCTCTATTGGGCGTGAGCGGCGCTTGCCTTTTCCGTCGGCTTCTCACCCTCTCTGATTAGCCGAACGGGATATGCTCGTCCTGTGATTGGTCAGCCGCGCATTCCAATAGCTGTGGCGCGGGGTGTCTGCGGTCCTGTCTGTTTCTGCTCAGCGCGTAGAGCGGAGGGAGCATGGCCGATTCTTCTTTTTTGGCTCCCCCTTGGGAGTTCCATTTGCCTCTGTCTGCCGCCGACTTGCTTCGCAGCGCAGGTCCCTCGCAATACGTGGTTCAGGAGGTACTGTCCCTCGAACAGCTCCCAGGGCTACTGGCAGGTTGGTAGGAAAAGAGGGTTAGGAAACGGTGCGGGAGGGAGGGATTCCTAGCAAAAGTGGATAATCTTAATATGGCAGTTGGTGTTTCGCAAAGCAGCCTTCCCCGACCACAAGGAATCGTCCCGATTCCCCTAATGTTGTCCCTATCTACAAGAATCGAAAAAACGATGAACCTGGGAACTATAGCCCAGTTATCTGGATATCAATCCCTGGGAAAAATTCTAGAGCAAATTATAAAACAGCCTGCAAATACCTTGAAGACAATGCAATGATGTATTTATTTATTTACATAAATTTATAGGGCACCTATAATTGCCAAGGCCTTCCTTGGATTAATAGAAGTCAACAAGAATTTCTCAAGAACAGGTCCTGCCACACTAATCTAATTTCATATTTTGACTGAGTAGCCTCCCAAGTGGACTGTGGGAAAGCTGTGGACATAGTCTAGCTAGACTTTAGTAAAGCCTTTGACAAAATACCCCACAGCATCCTGATTACCAAACTAGCAAGAAGCAGGCTACGTAGTGCAATCATTAAATGGATCCACAATTGGCTGCAAAATCGGACTCTAAAGTGTGTTCATCGATGGCACATTCTCAAACTGGGGAGAGGTGACAAGTGGGGTGCTGTAGGATTTCATCTTGGGACCAGTACTTGTCAACTTTTTTAATAACAATTTAGATGAGGAAGTACAAAGAAAGATATTTAAATTTGCAGATGACACAAAGCTGGGTGGAATAGCAAATACTCTGGAAGACAAAGATAAGCTACAGGGTAGTCTCAGGTTAGAACACTGGGCAGGGAGTAACAGAATGAAATTCAATAGGGACTAATGCCACATCCTGCACTTAGAAACAGGAAACCAAAATGCACTGGTACAAGATGGGGAACTCTTGGCTCAATACTGCAAATGAGAAGGATCTTGGGTTTGTTGTAGATCACAAGCTAAATATCAGCCAACAATGTGATGCAGCTGCAAGAAGAGCAAATGCTATTTTGGCTACATTAACAGAAGAATCACTTCCAAACACATGAAGTACTAGTTTCACTGTATTCAGCATTAGTCAGACCTCACCTGGATGACTGTGTCCAGTTTTGGGCACCCAAGTTTTTAAAAGAAGCAGAAAAACTAAAAATGGTACAGAGGAGGATAGCGAGGATGATTCAGGGACTGGAGGCACAGTCTTAAGAGGAAAGATTGAGAACTGGGCATGTTCAGCCTCAAGAAGAGAAGATTGAGAGATGTGATAGCACTATACAAGTACCTTAAAGACTGTCACAAAGATGAAGGACAAAATCTCTTCTCATTCACTCCAGAGTGCAGGACATGGAATAACAGACTTAAGTTAAAAGAAACCAGATTTAGACTAAACACCAGGAATAATTTCCTGACTGTTAGAGCAGTACAACAATGGAACCTATTACCTGGGGTAGTTGTGAATGCTGGAGACATTTAAAAAGCATTTGGGCAGTCATCTGAATGGGATGGTGTAACTTAGTGTCCTGCAACACACAAGGGATTGGACCCCATGGCCTTCTGGCCCCTTCCAACTGTACTATTCCATGATCTGGTACCTGCCATGTATGCTACCTGGCTGGGGGATTCTGGGAACTGTTGGCCAATGCATCTGGAGAGCACCAGGTTGGAGAAGGGTGGCATAAAACAGGACATTGAAATGGAGAGGTGGGAGGCAAAAGAATTGTGCCACTGGCTCCTGCTCTCTCCACTGAGAGTATTCAACTCACCAAGACAGGCCATATTTTAAGACCTAAGGCTTCTCTTAATCTGATGGTAGCTGTAGTGGTCATAGGCAAGGAAAGCAGTGGATGATGGTCTTCCTCTGCTGTTTGCCTGAATATCTGCTGTTTGGAGAATTTCTTTGTCGTATTATATGTAGTTTAGCACACTCAGAGTGTGCAAAGCACTTTATCATGTTTACAGAAGGAATGCAGACTTTCCTTCAAACTGAGGGACAGCCAAGTCTCCAGGGAGTCATATTTCAATGGTGGTTTCCCAGGACTGAGGCCCTACACCCTCACCTTATTGTCACCCTGTAAATTGTGTCATTCCCGTAGCAGAATATTTATACTTTGCTTTCTAACTTTAAAAAGATGCCCAAGATTTCTAGCAGGGCATACAGGGGGCCAAGGGTAGGAGAGAATAACGTGCTTGATGGTACCAAGTGAATTCATTGCTTAGGTGAAATTCAGATGCGGAGCATACTGGTTCATAGTTTAGTCTTTTAGCTACTCTGCTGTTCTCTTGTTTGCCTTCAACATTATTATAATCTGATATTAAACAGCAACCTTCATTACATGGCTTCATGGAAACTTCAGGGGGTTGCCATGACTTATATCCACCGATCTCTTTTTTCCAACCTGGTCCTCACATATTTACTTTTTTCCCTTTACAGCATTTCGGGCAGTATTCCGCACACAAGGAGCTCTTGCTATCTTGCAGCATTTTGATACTTTGTACAGTATCCTACAGTGAGTTTGCTCATTCAGATATACTACTGATACTGGTGGGAAACGCTCTTTTCCTTGCTCTAGGGCAGTGGTGGCAAACCTATGCCATGTGTGCCACAGCGGGCACGCAGAGCCCTCTCTGTCGGCACGCCAGCCAAGTCACCCCAGCAGCCGAGCATCAGATAACAGCACACACCGGGGCCATGTGCATGCTTGGAAAGGAGTAGCGGTGCCAGGTGATGACGTCACAAGCCGCGACTCATTAGCCGTAACTTCTCTGAGCTTTCTCATGACCGGTCAGTGCACTGCCAAGGAGATATATATACTTGCTTGGACTGGCTGTGAGTTGTTTTTTCTAAACTAAAACCTCAGTTTTCAGGATTTATTGCAGTGTTGGCACTTTGCAATAAATATGTGGGTTTTGGGTTACAGTTTGGGCACTCGGTCTCTAAAAGGTTCGCCATCACTGCCCTAGGGAATCCTTGCTTGGGTCCCTTTTCCCAGAAGTAATAAAATCAGAAGAAGAAAGGAGGACCTAAGAAAGTAGAAAAACAATGCAAAATATTGAACATTTTTAGTCATCTTGCTAAAGAAGCCATTGTGTTTTCCCATGGTGCATCTTTAAATGGCAGAGGCACTGCAAAGAAGTTTACTGTTTCCACTAGTGTGAGGACTGGGTAGATTTGACCAGTGGAGTGCTCCAACTGCTCACAAGTTGCCTCAAAAGATGCTAATTAAATGTGCAGAATACGGCCCATATTGGCTATTAACCAGATCTGTTCAAGGGTTGCAAGGTGCATAAAACTGCATCAAGGATGATTCTGCCTTACAAAATATGGTGGAGTGCTTCATACCAAATAATTTTCCTGCTTTGTTCAAGTTCAGCTTACTCTGTATTTTTTGTGGCAAAATAAACAGTTCTCAGCACATGCACACATGAATGAAGCAGTTCTTAGGAATGCCATGAAATGACAGAATATGTGACCTGAACATGCCAACTAACATATTAGTGTTCCTATTTAACTAACTGCATTGTTTTTGAAACCAGTGATTTAACCAATCATTGCTTTGGGAATAATGGTTCTTTAGTTTAGTTTTGAACTCCACTCTTTACAAATGTTGAGGGAAACTTTCCAAATTTTTCCAGGGGGGAAAGTTCCTAAGTTAACCCAATCCTCATGGCATCTAAAAAAACACAATTTAAGGCTTTTGTGTGGTGTTTATGGGGTACTAGAAAACAAATCTGCATTAACAGTTATGCATAATAATCTTAATCCTAGTTAAACTTTTAACTCCATGTACCTGCCCTGCAGCCACTTCAGGACGGTGGATTCCGCTATTAAAGAAGATGCTCTGGAATTGATGGTGAAAGGTAAGTTACCTCCCGGCACCCTGCCTTCCTGAGATCATAGGAAGTAGGATTTTTTGTCTGACAGCTTCATGATGATATCAAGGCAAATGTGACCTCACTGGCTGGCTGTTCCCTCAACCTGTTCCCCTATAAAGGTCTGTAATCTTGGTGGTCATCGCAAAGTAATGTGTGTTCGCTGTAAGGGCAGACCAACAGGATGTCCCATTCCTTCTGTCCTCCATTCCCCCATCTGGAGGAGGCACCCATCTCTTTGCAAAGCCTTACAAGGAGTGAGTGAGGGTGTGGGAACAGGGCAAGCTTAGTGTGCCTGGGTTACAGGTTGCTGGGCGCTGCCAGAGTTACAGCCGTTGAGGCAGCATGAGCACAAGTCTTTGGTAATCTGAAAGCTGCGCTGAATCTGCATCCAGGGCAAGTAAGCACCCAGACTGGCGGTGGTGATTGTATCTCCTCTTTCTCTCGGCAGTTGTGTCCAGTCACTCCAGCACTTTGGCATCTGTCTTGAGTGAGACTGACCTTGTATCCTCACTGCGTGCTCTTCACCTGAATGCTCTCAAAATGAACTGTTACATATTAGTGCAGCTAGCGGAAGCCTTTGAAACAGAGTCTGGAAAGTGCAACCTAGTTGGACTAGATGCCAAGAAGAAGGTAGAAGGCTGAATCCATCAATCTACTGGGCTTGGGTTGGCTTTTCTCCTCGCTGACAATTGCTCCAAAATCAGATATCAGTCTGCCAAGCTATAAGTGAAATGGCAGCAAGGACTTAAGTCCTTCCAGCTTATGAACGATGTTGTGTGCCTGATTTCATTGTTTGGTCAATCCTTTCTCTGGGCCTGCCTTGCAGGATATTGCTAGATCAGAGCTTTCACTCCAAGGCCCACTTTGCTAATTAGATAATTCTGCTTCAGTGGGAGATCAATGGAAGAAAATTCTGCTTTAGTGGGTGGATTAGCCATACACCTTGTTCCAGACAGCAGGACTGTGTAAAGTGACTTTTGCCTCATTCCTTTCGGTACAAGGAGTTCCCACCAAGTTCTCTTCCTACTTGCTCTGAAGTAGTCGATAGGCAGAGTCCCAGGAAAGCTCTGTTGCTTTGAACATGGTGCTCTGTCATATCCTGAGCACTAAAATGCATAAGGGGTTGGGAGGGCTGCGACTTCCTGGAAGTAACTTAAGGATAACAGTGCCCCCCCCCATGGCTCATTGTCTAAAGAAGCCACCCCTTTCAGAAATAGGCTGCACATATTAAAAGACATTTTCAAATGATGCATGATGTCCGCATTCACAGTGCTGCTGTCCCTGCCAGCTCTGTTCCTGGACCTTTGCATTTTTGCTGGAAGGCCTAAAGGAAGGGACCTGCATATGTTCAGCTGAATGTCTGTAGATTCTAGTGCCTGGAGGGAATACAGCTGTTCTTTCAACCTGTGGTTCCTAAATTCTGAAGATAGTTTGTATGTGTGTGTCCTACACACCTCCCGTCCCGAAGCTGATATTTTGGACTTGCCTTACAGAGCAAAAAGAGCCAGGCTGGAGGCTTTCTCTGGGAGGAGGAAAGGCAGGCAGTCTTACAGCTGCTCATGCAGTTACTTCAGCTGGACCTTCATCAGTTATGGAATGGCTTAATCGTGGAAGAAGAGTTTGTCAGGTGTGCATACTGCGAGGGGTTGGATGGGAGCCTGTTTTCAGACAAGACCCTTGAAAGCATGCCTTGTGCTGCTGTAGGGAAGTGACAGGGCTCAGTCAATTGCACGGAGGGTGGGAGTTATTTTAGCAATGAGCAGTGTGTTGTTCTTGGAGGCTGGCAGCTTGCTGGTAACTAAAATCTCTCCTTTGCTCCAGTCTCCCAAGTAGAAGATGCACTTGCTCTAGCTCTTGTTCTGGTTTTCTTCTCCAGTCTAGTGACTGCCTGTTGTTACCGCATGCTGGAAAATCCTAGCATTGGCCTCCAGAGACATCGGCCCACACGAGAGGCAGTAATTCATCTGCTGGGTGTTGCTCTGCTGCGATATGACCATATGCTCAGTAAGTCTGCTCTCTTGGAAGCACTGCAGCATTTGGTGCAGCACGTCCTAGCTGCTGCTCCACCGTAAAGTGCCAGTCTAATCCCTCCTCCCTCCTCTGTTGTTGAAAATGGCTCTTCTCTTACCCAGCTGTCTTTGGTAGGCGCCACTCTAAAGGTCACACAGATGCTTCAGCACTTTGAGCACGTGGCCCCGGTGTTTGTGGAGGCTGTGAGTGTGTGGATCAAGGAGTATGCCATGAAGAGTATTGTCGGGGAGTTGCTGAGGTGAGGAAAGCTCTTCAGCCCCTGTTCCTACCAAACCTCAGCAGCTTCAGCAACTGACTTTTGATTTGCTGTTCAGGGAGATCGGACAGAAGTGCCCCCAGGAGCTGGCCCGAGATGCCTCCGGGGCAAAGGGCTACTCTGCCTTTCTCACAGAACTGGCTGAACAGTCGCCCGCCACCGTGCTGGCGAACATGAGCGTCCTGCTGCATCACCTGCACGGAGAGGTACAGAATGAGGCCCTGTAAGGCGTTTGTCATGACCACGTAACTCCCTGCTTTCATTTGACCTGAGATCTTGTACGTGCATGTGAGAACTAGTGCTCGGACTGATAAATGACAGAGAACCATCTGACCCATCTGCATGCTCTAAAGCGACGTCACTGTCTTCTGTGTTTTGTCTGCTTTGTGTGCCATGACTCCCTCCCTAGTGCATCTCAGTAGACGCAGTCAGTGGTGAGCACCCTCTTCCCTCCCGGGAATCCCCCGTCTGTCTTGGAAGTATCTTGTGTGTCCCAAAACAAAGCAATATGTGCTCAGGTTTTCACTTTTCCCATATCTTGCCATTCAGCATCCTGCTTAAGAGTGGAAAATAGGCCCTTTTGAGGCTGGTTTTAGGGAGCTGATGCTTCTGCTTGATTTCTTGTAAATAAGAGCCTGGCTCAAATACATGGCAGCTCTGTAAATCACATTTAGTGACGCATTCTGTTAATATGACCTCAGTCCCTATGAGACGTCTTTTGAGTATACATGACTTGCGTCTGCCATAAGCTTGTAGAACACCAGATGGGGTAGGGGAAGATGTGCTAGCACTAAAATGCCCTTCCAGCTACTCAAAAATTAAGGCGCAAGCGACTTCTTAATTCTCTGAGTGTGCTTCCGAGTTGTGACTTGCCAGTAATTCCCAAGTATTGCATCAGCAGATTCTGAATTCGGATTGCCTTTTCCCTGCAGCATTTGACAGCCTGTGACAAATAAGGCCAGCCTAGTGCAGAACTGCTGCCGGAGTAGGCATTTGGCCTATGACTGCTGCACAGAGGATGCAAATCAACCTGTTTCACACTTGAAGCTTTCTTGTGGCGTTGGCATCCTGAGCTTCTCATCCTCTTTAGATTGCAAGGTTTGGGAACTGCCAAGAGAAATGTCCTTCCAAATATTCTTGTCATTCTACAGAACTATGGTATGCGCATTGCCATTTTGGCTGCTATGACAGAGGCACTTCTGCAGGTGCTGAATGGAGAGCAGCTGGAAGAAACTGCCAAAAACACACGGGATCAGTTCCTGGGAACCCTGCAAGCACACATATGTGATGTGAATGGCTTTGTGCGCAGTCGTGTGCTGCAGTTTTTCACTCGAATCGTGCAACAGAAAGTAAGTTCTGAGGGAATTTGGGGGCGGGGGGGAGACAGCATGAGTCAAGCACTGTTTGGAAGCCTTCAGCCCCATGATTCAAAGGGTAGGCATATCATTCCCACTGAGAAGCACCCCCTCTGCCCTATCCATGCCTAGATGGAGGGCACCTTCCAGCAGAAACAGGACTGTTGCTAAAGCAAGCTATGATGACCCTGCAGAAGTGATATTTGCTTGCTGTTTCTACCACTCTACCATCAGTCTCTCATCTTTTCCCTCTTTGCTGTAGGCCCTGCCCTTAACTCAATTTCAGGCCACTGTGAGCCTGGCAGTGGGCCGGCTGCAGGACAAATCTGTAACAGTGGTGAAGAATGCTATTCAGCTGTTGGCTGCCTTCCTTTCCAACAATCCTTTCTCCTGTAAGGTAAGCACTTTATTTTCTTGCTTGTTAATATTTTACTGAAGACATTTTACACTGGTGCTTCCCCTAAGTTTGAATCTTGTCTGTACCTGATCAGCTGGCCGGAGGCCGTTCATTAGAAACATGCTGAACACAATAAAGGTGACAAGGATCAGAGCATAGTTCAGCTTCGTGTCCCGTGCAATCCTCTGGAATAAAGCTTATCCCCAGCATTTGAATCGGGTCACCTCAAAAACTCAGAGGACTGGGATATGGCATTTGATGACGGAAGGCAGGAATGAAGTGGCTGCATTTAATATTGAGAATTCTCCTCCAATCCATAGCTGAGCTGCACAGACTTAATCAAGTTGCTTGAGAAGGAGAGGCAAAAACTACAGGAGATGAACCGCTGCAGAACCACAGCTGGTAATGTTGGGTTTTTTTCCTGTAACACAGCTCTTGACCTGTGAGGTGGGTCTGGCTGAGTGGTGAGGTCAAAACCAGATAGAGGAAGGAGGTGGCATGGAGAGGAGATTGGAAGAACATAATGGCAAAACTGGGGCCAATGTTAGGAGTGGAGCAAGAGGAAAGCAAAATCCCCCTCAAGGTTCTAATGGTACAACTAGGCACCCCTACATAGGTAGCCAATAGCTACAGCTCCAACAAAGACTTGGCTCAGGATACCTATGCGCCACGTAGAACAGGTCCAGGAACCTGAGGCCTACCAGCCAAATTTGGCCATCCCACCAGGAAACAATGGGCATAATGAAGCTGGCTCTCCCACAGATCTCATTTCATTTTTCAAGCAGATAAGAAACAGTAGGATTCCCTTCTGAGCTCCCTGTTTGTTACTTTATATCCTGCACAAACAAGAGCATCCGGCTTCTCTTCTAAGCCCTCTGTTTATGCCAGAAGGTACAGGATAAGGGAGTGGTGGCAGTCTGAGTTGTTTCTTCTAAGCAAAGGCATGTAAGACTGATAGGTGGTCAACATTTTCCAGAAATGGGGTGGTAGTTACAGGCCAAAACAATGTTTTTTTACTGTTTCTTCATTGTTAAGCGAGAGTTTGCATTATGTTTAGGTTTCTTTTAAAATCAGGTTAATGGGACTCTATAACTGAAACTTTTAAGGTGGAGGGAGTCAAAATTATTTTTACCTACCTTTCCCACAGCTAAGGCTAGAGAAGCTGACAGGAATCCAGTGCCAAGTTCTCTACCTAAAAAGCAAGTTAAGACCAGTCGCATGCATGGTCAACTAAAGCTGAGTCAGTGACCTGATGTGGGCAGGGGAACGATGTAGAATCGAAACAGAGACAGATTTACCACAGGACAGCAAGATAGCAGCAATCGCATTTGTTATATTTCCAAATCCCTGTCTCCCAGGCTCTCTAGCAGGCTTAGTGTTACTTTAACTCCACTCTATGATGTTGGGACAGACAAGTCACTGGCTGAACTCAGTACTTCCTGGCTGTGCGCTGTAGTGCTCAAAGACTCCATTCAGAACTGTGTATCATCATGGAGATGGAAGACTGTCTCTGATTCCCTCTTTCCCCTCATAGCGGTGGTGATCTCTCCAGAGGAAGAATGGGAGGCAATGCAGCCAGAGCTCCAGGCAACCCTGAGTTCTCTTGGCTCACAGTCGCAGGAAAATGAGGCGACTGAGCTTGAGTTGGGGGACCCAACAGAGTTAGTCAACAGCATTGTCCAGCTGTTGAGAAAATCCAATTACAAGTAAGTAAAATTGGGTGCAGGCGGAATGTGAGATCTTTTGATCCCAGTGTGAAGATTTTCTTTGCAATTAATTGTGGGCATAGTCTACGCTTCCCAAAGGTAATTGAGATGGATATGCAAAGCGTATCTACATAGGGTTTAGCATTGGTCTGCCATCTCTCGATACAGGGATGCGATCCGCCTGACGCAAGGAGGTCTACACCAGCTCCAGGGGTTGGAGCCCTTCAGCTGCTCAGGAACAAAGGGTGACGAAGCCATCACCCTGAGCCTGTTGAGGACGTTTTACTTAGGTAAATGCCTGCCTGTGCTGCGGTGGTTTGTTTCGGTGCTCAGAGAAGCAGAAGGTTCTCTTTCCCACCGCCAAACTAGGGCAATAGCAGCTATGTTGGCTGAATCCTGTGTCTCTTCCCTTCACACACAAAGCAGACAACAAGAGGTCTAACTGGTTAAAATCCAGTAGGCTGGGGAGCTGAATTTTCTCTTTTCCTTTACCAAACCTTTGTCATCAGCTGCCCAAAGTTCCTTTTTCTTAGTCGAGCTGCAACATCATTAATTAAATAAGCCTGGATGACTGAAAAGCCCCTTGAGGCAGTAACACACAGGGAAGTAAGATGCAGAGGATTTCACTTCACTACCACATCTATTCCTTTGGTGAAATCAGATCACCCACCTGCTCACCACTTTACACGTGATCATACGAAAGCTGCTGCCATGGTCATCTTTGGATTGGCCCCTCCTTCCCTTCAGCATTGGATGTTTGTCTGGAAACACTCTTTTTTAACCTGGTTCTGCTTTCAGTGTGACTTAAACACTCATAGAGCAATATCGGTCAGAACATACTTGGAATAGATGCTACTGTATGAGACCAGAACACTGGAATTGTATCTGTGTTCCCTGTTTTGCTGTGCAGGTTCCCAGACTGAAGGTGGGGTTCAAGAACCCACAAATAGTACAGATAATGCCAGGAGTGAAGAGCAAGCACAAGAAGAGGAAGAGCCACCAGCAGAGTTAGTAAAGCAGGAGATGCTGGTGCAATACTTACAGGATGCCTATGACTTTTCTGCAAAGATCACTGAAGCCCTGAGCCTAGTCTTGAAACTGATGTATGAAAACTCCGTTTCCGGTAAATGTGATGACCGCACATCAGATGTTGTTCTGTCTACAACTAAATGTGGAAGGGAATGTCTGAAAACATGAAGCAGCAGTACCTTCTAAAGGCTCTGCACAGACCCACAGCTCATCACACAGAAAGCCTGTTCCTACACTGCATCTCTTTAGATTATAGGTGAGGAATTTCATGGCTTCATGCTTGTATCCTCACCCCTCAGAAAACTAGCTTAGCTGATTTATCTAGAAATAAATTAGCGCTTATATGCAAGGGACATAAGTTGAATTCTTGAAGAACTGAGAACCCCATGTATGCTTGACCTAACTTATAAAATCTATCCAAAAGGGACTTGTTGAGAGCATGTCAGAACAATTTTTCTGTGTGATTAGCTTGTGTCTGGAAAGCCTTAAAAACATGACGGGCAAAGCTAAACGCTGTGCATTATACATATATGCCATTGTCTGTCTTTGAGCATCCGCACTATGGATGGATACAATTACAGGAGTAACACAGGAATCCTCTACTGCAAGATTTCCACTTAGATTTTTTTAAATGCCAGCCTTTAAAAGGGATCTTCTCTGCATCCCGACTATCAGGTTTGGTAAACATGTGCTGCACAGTGAGTTGTGTTTTTCCAAATGGCTGTCTGGCCGACAAGCCTGTAACAGGAGGAGCTTCTTTGCTGACAAGATTTATTAGTAGAACATGTGGCGACTGACTGGAGAGTCTGAGATGTATGTGCAGCTGCAGAAATAAGTAGACTGTGATAATTAGATAGCCAGAAGTGTTTAAAAAAGCATCTTAAATATATAGAAATGAATTTTACAAAACAGGCATTATATGTTTGAACACCAGGAAAGTCACATTAAAGGAAGCAATGCATGTCTTTCAAATAATTCTTCTACTGTAAGTTAATTGTTTGTAGCTTTATCTTTGGGGGCCTTCTGGCACAAAGGTGGTCTACAGTTGGTTTTAATGAATATAAATTGAGTACCAGGTAGTTCAATTACACAAATAATCCTTAGTTTAGTAATCCTACAGCTCTGCCTTAACTAAAAAGGTGACAAAGCATTTCAAGCAAATCATTTTAGTGTGCTTTAAACAGATATACATCTAAATGATAGGAATTGATTAGTCTATCCATAGGCAAGAGGTAGAAAATCAGGGGTGGATTCAAATGCTGCCTTTAACTTCACAACAAGATATAAAATCTCCAAAGAGGATGCAAATGGGCTTGGTACCTGAGGTGGCCAAAGTAGCAGTGTAGGATTTGAGACTAGTGAATGACTGTTATGCACCTAACAGAAATGCAACACGACTATGATTTAATTTTTAGGTGGACTGGAGGCAATCTAAGCTGAACTATTTCCTTCCTTTCCAGTGGTGCAAGAAACTATTGAATTCTTTGTGGTAGTATCTCAGTTTGGTGTCCCTCAGGCTGTGCTTGGAGTCCGCCGAATGCTTCCACTCATATGGTCCAAGGAACCAGGGATCAGAGACGCCGTTTTGGATGCCTACAGAAGGCTCTATCTGAACCCTAGTGGAGATTCAGAAAGGTTTGGCTGACTCTCTTCCACTAGCCACGTAGGGGGGATGATGCATATGTTCAACTGGGAGCCTTGGGAGTGGGTAGGTGGACAAAATGCAGTTGCCATTATACTATTCCTGGATGACCAAGCATATGTGTTAGTTATGCTTGACTAGCTAGACTGAAATTGGTTTCCCTTTATACTGTCTTTTGTCCCATGGAAGAATAATCCAGATTAAACAAGCCACTGGCCTGTGCCCTCAAGATGCCTTGTCTTCCTGAATGAATGCTCTGGGTCTCAGTAAACCTGAAGTTGCTTGCTGGGGTGTAGTCCCTATTCACCATTTTGATAGGTTTTCAATCAAGAGAGTTTGATAGGTTTTCAATCAAGAGAGTATATTAGGTGGGATTTCACAATGTCAGACCTTTAAAAAAAACAGATCTCTTACTGTATCTGCGTAGGACTCGTGCTCAGAACTTGGTGCAGTCTCTCTCCCTCCTGATGGTAGATGCTTCGCTGGGGGCTATCCAATGTCTTGGAAAAATCGTGAGTGTTTTTCCCCTGTAATGGACCAGCTCAAAGTCCTAGTCACCCTTGATTCTCTTAGCCTTTTTGTAAGACTCTTCAGAGTCCTATAATCTGTTTTATTGGTTCAAGTGATCTCAAAACCAGAGTATTGCACAATCTGTACTCCCAAATTGACAGTATTAACTTCTAGAACATTCTAATACTGTCTAGTATTAACATTAATACTAGTTTTTTCTTCACTTTTTTCCTGCTGTTGAGGCACTTAAACACAGACGATCCTAGGAACTTTGCCAGACAATTTCAGATTGGCTAAATGTGCAGTTTATGCTGATCAGGGACAGCAATAAGTACACAGTAGCTTGTTTTTCATTAATTTAGAAGAGAAAACACAATTTTTAAAAATGTAAGAATCAAATATAAAATGATAGGTCATGTATCCTCACAATATTGAAAAAGACTCAAGGCTGAACACCCAGTGAAACTGAAGTGCAGTATTTTGGGGATAGACAAAGCACTTCCCATGTTACATAATGTGCTGTCATTGGCTTAGATACTTTTCAAAGGGGATAAGACTCATTCACTGACTATTAGCTAGAGGAGACCAGTGTTTTCAGAGAGCTGTGTTGCTCTGAATATCAACTAGTGGGGACAAACTGCTGAAGGAGGGTGATCACCTTCCTGCCATGCTTGTATGCTTTTCAGAAGCATTGTACTCGAATGTTACCCTAGACAGACCTTAGTCTAATCTGGCGGGACCCTTAGATTATAATATCCACTGTGTGCGTCTTCATTAGACCCAAGAGCAATGTGTAGTAGTAAAATCAGGGCAACCCAGTCTCTCAGACCAACAACTATTTCTTTTAAAAATATTGATTTCTCCGACAAGTGCTTCATGTGCACTTTATGGACGAGTCTCCGGACAAATTCTTCATTGGGAGAAGAGGGCCTTGCATGGTTGAATCCTCCTACTTGCCTTGTTAGGCGGGGCCATTCAGATTTGCTATGTATATCCTCCCAAGTTGAGAGAAACCCCACCTGGTTTCTGTTTTGCAAGCATCAACACCAGGATACTTGTGGAACTCTGCTCTTTACTTCAGCAAAGATGACGGATGGAGTCCTTCGAAGTCCTGCCTCTCTATGCTAGCTAGCCAGGGTTGGTAGGGCTTAGCCCAGCTATTCTGTGTGCTCCATATTGGCCCGGGTTGTTTGCAGGAAGTGAGGAAAATCATCTGCTTGCTTACTCTGCTTTTTAGGCCATGTACTCGCTTTCCTTTCCTGATAACATTTGTGATTTTCTAGATCTCAGAGTTTATGAAAAAGGATGAAATTAAACCTAGTGTGGTCCAGCTGCTCTGGGAACGATTCACAGAGAAATCGCCGTGTTCAAAGTTGGAACGTCATGCTGCCATCATGCTTCTGGGGATGATGGCAAGGTGAGTCAAGAGATCAGCCTTCTGCACCTGGCAACAGGTTTAAAAGTCATGACAAACTTCTGTGTGATAGCCGAACTGTGTGCAGTAGGCCCTGAAAAGGATCTCGGCCTCTGCTTTTCCAAGGAAAGCTCCACAGCCCTTCTCCTGTGCTTTCATTTGTGAAGGCACAGGAGCCCTTGTTGTTCCCTCCCAGGACTTGTGAAGTTGCTGTCGAACAACCTGGAGATAAGCACATGGGTTCTGGGACTGTGTTAGGGATGCTGGGTCTCTGGAATTCAGTGGGAGAGCTATATGGGGCAGGGTAGCTCACAGTGAAGGAGGCTATCTTGACATGGGTTCCTGTTTCCACCCATTTCACAGGCAAGACTGTGTCAATCCAACAGCTTTCCTTAGTGGAGTCTGGTCTTCTGTACTGCAATGGGGATTTCCCCCTCCAAAAGCGATAAAGCTGGATTTCCTCCCCCTGCTTTTGCTGGAATAAATAGTTAATGGATTAGAGTCTGTAATGATAAATGTGGGGTCGCTTCCAAAAGCGGTGTTCCCCCAGTGGGAAGAGAAGTCTGGGTGCCATGCATTACCCCTGGCTGCAGGCGATGGGCTGCAGGGCAGGGAGAGGACCAAGAGGTCCCATCGCATGAGCAGACTGCTGCTTGCATGACGGCAGAATTCAGCCCATGGTGCTTTTCTGTCCCAGAGATCGTTGACTGTGATTGTCACCACAGATTCAAGACGCTGCATGTTGTAGACACCCAGCCAAGCCAATGAATTTTAGAAGTCCAATATCAACCGTGGGGTTCTTACAATAACCATATTGGGTATCTGCCTCCATCATCAAAGGCTCCTTGACAATTGGAAAACAGAATCAGAGAAAAGCTAGAGATGATGATAGGTGGTGCGCTTAGTAACAAACTCAATAGAAGCCAAGGAGGAGATGTGTCCTCAGAGAATAAAGTTCCATCTTTCTGTGATATAAAATCTTCTCTAATGTAGGATCCTGCTGGGTATTCTCCATGGTGCACAGAAGAAAGTTTGCCCTGGCCATAAGTAAAAAATCCGAAATACACGTTAGGCTGGAGACAAATCTGGGTGTTAGCTGGATTTTGTATCTTTAAGATAGTTATACCATCCCAAGATTCCCAGAAATAATTGTAGGTGCCGTCTGAAGCCATTACTCCACCTGGTTTGAACGACAGCTGCCTCCTCCCATGTTCATTCCTAAGACTAGGTCATTCAGCCTGTTTTTTGACATCTGCCACCTTTCCGCCAGCCCCGCTCTCCTGCTACATTTGCCGTCTGGTGAAGAACTCTGGAGAATTTCAAAGTGTGCACATATTTTGCAACTTCGTAAAAGTATTGTCCTGACAGTAATCTGGCCCTTTTCTTAAATCATAAAGATGGTCTGCCATTGCTTTTTGTGTGGGTTTTATTACTGCAGGATCCTTAGGAATCTTTGACTTGCTTTGTGCACCACTAATTGAGAACAATGCATACCTAGAGCTTGGCATACTGGCTAATCTCTTGCTTTGCTTATGTGAGGTAACCAAGAGCTCACAATTCCTGTTTCGTCCAGTATAATCATTTGAGTGTGTTTCAGGATTTCTGGAGTATCTTGGATTTAATGAAGTGTGCATTTTGTCATTACTAGGGGCAAGCCTGAGATTGTGGGGAGCAACCTTGATGTTTTGATAACAGCAGGGCTAGATGAGAGAGTGCATGAAGATTATTGCCTTGCTCGGGAAGTGTGTAATGCGATCTCCAATATTGCCAACAACCAGAAGGTCAGAGCTTGCTTGGATCTCAGAAAAGACTCTGGGTGTCTCCAATTTACTAAATTTGCATGGGAAAACCACAAACTAAATGGATTTGGGAAGCTTTAAATTAGGGTTAGATTATTTTGTATACTGCAGTTTTCAGCTACATCTACTCTTTGTAAAATGTATTGTCCAGTTATCTTTGCATTTGTAAAATGCTCAACCGAATAACCATCTTTCACATGCTTCGAGTTCTAAAGCATCTTTTCTGATTGCAACCCACCTTTTGGAGGCTGTGTGGCTGGCTCGCAATACAAGTCCTTCCTTTTAGGGTGCTTCAGTAGCGCAATGCAAACAAACTGAATCCAACCTTCCTGGCTGACCTGTTGAAACTGGTGCAGATGCAACTTCCCAAAATCCTAACCATCTCTGGGAAGGCACTTTTATATTGTGATTTTATATTGAAAATTGTGTCCAGTTTTTCTGCCATAAAAGCTCTTGAAGCTTTAGATATTCAACTAAAAAGGCAGTTCTGCTACAAGCAGGGATATATCACAGAATAGCAATAAAGACAAACAAGCAGGTACAGCCAGAAGTATCTTATTTGCCCTTCAAAGCTTGTGTAAATAGCTTGAATCTAGGCTGGCACTGAATAAATGGTGATGGCAGGCATGTATTTAAGGGAAGGGTTCCATAACTGAAGCAGCACTACAGAAGGGGTCCTTGTTCTGAGATCTACTCAGATAGCCTCTATCTGGAAAAGTTCCTCAGATTAGGATCTCAGTTGCTATACAGGTTCATGCATGAGATGGTTCTTCAGGTATCACGGGCCTGAACTTCAGTTTTAAAGGCTGTGGCACTACATTGACTTTTTCCCAGAAATAGATGACAAACTAGTGAAAATACTTAGAATTTCCCAGGCAAGTCCTAATTAACAACCTGGCTGTCGTAGTTTTACAAACCTGTTTAATTCACCCTTGCAATTAAAAATCAGAGACTTTCTGTTTACAGTCCCCATTGCTTCTCAGATCCCCTCCAGGCACCCAGAACCCTGCTCTAGCCTTCCGTTGGTATCAACAGAGGAAGCATTCTGAGCTGGGTCTTAACTGAAGACCCAGTGCCCTTGACCGCATTCCAGCTCCAAAGTGTCTTTGGGTCTTTTTGGTGTTTGGGCCTTTCAGGAGCGACCTATGCAGCTTCAAGGAGGCATCCCACCCCACCTTGAATTTGGCTGCTGCGCTAATGCTTGGCAGTCTTGCCGTGATGCTCATGCAAAGCAGGGCTTCCTTGCCCAGGCAGCAACGCCATTGGTGATGTTGCCAGCTTGCACATTTGTTCCTTTTCCCTTTTCGGCAGTCTTGAGCAAATTTCCCCTCATTTAATCTTTGTATAGCATGATATTTACGGCAGTGCTAACCAGAATAGTTCAGACCTACAAGCGTCTTCACTCTGGTTTCAGACCCTGCTTGTTTGAAACCGCTTGGACGATTGCTTGGAAACGGAGTCTTTTCCCACTTAGCAAACTCTGGCAGCAGGGCTGCAAGGAGGGCAAGTGGGAGAGCTGCAGCTGCTCTCCTTGATCGCCTTCCCCTGCTCTAGACCATTGTTCCACAGCTAGAGCAGGAATGCATAGACAGCAGGCTGTAAGGTACTATGCCCAGTTTTCCTTGTCAGCATCAGCACTAATGAGGGAGGGCTTTATAACTTCTCCCAAAAGGGAAGATCTGCTCTCTTCAAATAAAGAAGCTGTTTGTGGCCAGAAAAAGACTACACATATGTGGGTATGCACATGTGGTCCCTGCAGTTCTGATGCAGCTCTTGCGGCTGGAAAGATTGTGCCCCTCTAAACTAAAGTTTCCCGTACAGTGGCATAGCCCAGTCAAGTCAAAAATGTAGTATTTAATGATTAGAGATTATATGAATGAGATTACATGTGACTATTTCAAATTAAAATTCCTAGCTATGTTTTTTGTTATACGACTTTGGAAGATGCTGTATTTGACCATGCCTGTCTTTCAGAGAGATTGAAGATACATTGAAATTAAACTTGTATCTTTCTGCTGCCCTAAAGCTTTTAAAAAATACTGCATGAAATTATCACCATAGAGAGTGAAGAAGCGAAAGGGGAGTGAGGGAGGGCCTTCAAAGCATCACCATAGAGAGAAGTAAAAGGGTGAAGAGGGAGGCCACCAAAACAGGCCTTCCTGCCCCACCCATCTGGAGAAGGAAATATCTCTAGCTTTTCCTTGATACAAAGAGGAGTAACTGATGGGTTTGGGCGGGGTAGCTAGAGATACTTGCAGTTTTTCCATTTTCACAGGGGTCCTGTGCCCCTAACCCCTACAAATGTGGAAAGCCAACTACACGTGATCCAACTAACACACAAATTCAACTTAAAGATGAATTTCTGTTTTTTCAGGAACTCATTCGTAAATTGGGGAATGTCTGTATAGTAATAAAAAGAGAACTAGGAAACTATTCTGCTGGACAAAGCTAATCTTGCTTCCTCCCTCCCTACAGCTGGAAAAAAGCCATGCTCCTTTCCGACTTCCACAGTCACACCAGCTGTTTGAATGCCTGCGCAAGGCCATAAGTGTGGGTAAGGCACTAGAGCGGAAGGATGGGCAGGCCTGCATTCAGACCTTGCCTGACTGAGAAGCTGCTCCTTCTGTTTTTCCTTAGGCTTTGCTGCGTCAACAGCACACTGGGTCCCCTTCACCGAGACAGCAGTTGCCCTCATCTATCGCCTGGCAGAAGGCCCCGAGGAAATATGTGCTGAGATCCTCCAGTGTTGTAGCCAGCAAGCCCTGGAGAAGCTGCAGGAGTCTGGTCAGGTTGAGGCAGGTGAGTTGGGGGTCAGCAGCAGCGCCGTCGCTTCTGGCAGAACCTCCTCGGGGACGGGTGAAGCAGTTGGCAATGGAGACGAGAGGCAGTGGGGCCAGAAATCTGAAAGAAGGGGCGACCTGCAGCTGACGTGACTAGTCTGCTCTCCCTCCTTCCAAGCAGATCAGGACAAAGACTGTCTCCCTCAAAGTCTTTAAGCTTGTGATACACAGGAAAGGTATTTCGGAATTCAAGTAGCAAAAGGAACAAGTAAAGATAAGCGACTGGCCGTTAGGGGAGCGTGGCTTAATGATGCAAAGTGGATTCTGCCCGTTCAAACAAAAAGCAAAAGCTGACTTTTTAGGTGGGTCCTGCTGCTTAAGGGCCACTGGCCTTGGAGTGCCTGATGCTGTTGGTCCACCTTATTAACCTGATGGCGCACTGTTGGTCTAATGGAGATTAGTTCACATGTCCCCATATCAGGTGGCTCACTAAACTTCCCTGCAAAACTTGAAACTGTCCAATTCTCAGGGACTGTCTGGATTATCTGTGGGTCCTCTGGCCTTGTCAGGTGAGCTATGGCTTCCCGACCCTCTTCCTCTTTTGAGTCAGAAGCTGATGCCACAGCTTTGAAGCCTGTACCATAGATTGGGCCCAATCCCTACATCAGCCATGTTACAGAGATGCTTCTATTTGTCCTCCAGAGCCTGGATCTGAAATGGCCGGTGACTCGAGCACTATCGATACTTTGGTGTTGACACATCTGGTCTCCCTTGTTGGGGATGTGGCCTTGCAGCAGCTTCAGCATCTGGAGCTGTCTGTAAGCAATGAGCTTCGCAGGCGCCGAGTCCTTGGGGAAGAGCAGGAAGAGAAGGAACATGCTGCAAAGAATTCACAGGCCCAGAATGAAAAGGTGAGGGCCGGAGTTCTTTCTCTTTCTTCCACAGCCACTGATGTTTTGTCACTGTGACCCAGAGCAGCAGACCCCGTTTCTCATCTGGTCGTGAATGTCTGAGTTCTCATAACCTTTAAAAAAACTTGTCTGGGTTTCTTTCTGTAGAAATCTTCCTGGGAGTTCTTGCTTGACACCAACTCTATCTGTTTGCAGGGTGGGAAGTGGAGAAAGCAGGGTGTTCATCCTGAAACTAATGATTCCAGTTGGTTAAATCCAGTTCCTAAAACTGGTTCTTTCCAGCCAGGAGACTTGAATCATTCTGTATACAGTGGTATCTTGGCTCACGAATGCCTCAGTTCACGACCAAATCGGGTTGCGAACAAAAATGTCATAAAAATTTTGACTCGGGTCGCGAACTCCGCATTGGGTGGCGACCATGATCATGGCCATATCCCCACCCACCCCACAAGTGGGGAGATGGCCGCGATTGTGCCGGGGGTGGGGGGAAGATGGCCGCAATCGCGCCCGACTTTCCTGCAGAGCGCACCAGCGATTGCACCTGTCTTTTCTGTAGGAGCGTAACTGCGATCTCGGCCATCTCCCCCCTCAGCACGATTGTGCCTGTCTCCCTCCCTCCGAGCGCACCCGTGTTTGCGCCCGTCTCTCCCCCCGAGCGCCGGGATGACCGGCGCGATCATGGTTGTGCTGGGGGGTGGAGATGGCCACGCTCGTTGCAGGGCAGGGGGAGATGGCCGCAAACTTTGTTGTTCTTTGTCACTTTGCTTCACATTTTTCTGATTAAAAAAAAATAGTTACAGAATGGATTAACCTTATTTACATTGAACCTTATGGGGAAATTTGACTTGGCTCAAGACCATTTTGGGTCATGACCAGATTCCTAGAACAGATGAAGTTTGTGAGCCAAGGTACCACTGTACTTTCACTCCTATCATTTGTCAACCCATGTCCTGCAAAAACACACACAGTAGCAACATCCCTTTCCTATGTATCCTGAGCAATAAATTGAAGATTTCAAGGGATTACCTCTAGTGTAAATGTCTCATGACTTGAATTGTTGAATTATTTTTATTTGCTGTCCTTTATATTATTATAATTAGACTGACATGATACTAAATATGCTTAAGGAAATTTGCATGCTGCTTAATCTAGGGAGATCCTATTTTCAAAACTTGGGTTTGTATACTTTTTTTAGCCACACACAGTCCCACTATTCCATCTATTAATTGTTTCTTTTGTTTAGTTTGTAATCCTTTTACCTGGATTTGATGTTAAACTGATCAGTGCAATGGAAAAGATAGCCATATGTCTCCTCCCTCTTGTCCCACTCCATTTCATTACAAACCATTGTTTTCAGTTACATTTGGCCATAATCCCCGAGGGAGGATCCTTGTGGTCACTCAGTATTATCTGAAGGGCCATTGGGTATGGGGGATCGTTCCCCTTTGAGGGGGAGATAGTGCTGTGACCTCAGAAGCGGGAGCCCAAGGTCTCCCCCACACTGTGCAGCTGGTGCAGGAAGAACTGCTGGCTGTCCTCCAACACCGGAGGAGCAACCTTGAAGAGCGAGGAGGAAGAGCTGGGGCAGGGCTCTCCCTAGGCTTCTCCAGCCACCTTCCCTCCCCCACCAAAGCACCATCGCTGGACAGCAGAAGAGTCTGTCTAGCTCTGCATGCAGGGCACGGAGCTGGCAAAGTTCACCTCCGCCATTCCTCCAGTTGTGGAATAACAGAGCGTCTGAGTCCTGGGGATTTTGATTACTGAAAGTGCAATTAACAGGCTTGCACTCCAAGTGCTTCTTTAATTGTTGGTTGTTCTTCAAAGACTAGCAGTTGGCCTTGATCTACGTTAGAGAAACTGAGCCTTGTTGTGCTTGCACAGCTAGAATTACGAAGTGTGGGACTCTGGAGTTTGCCCTGCTTAACTCTGCCCTGCTTCAAACTGGGCGGACCCTATGCGGGACGGGAGCGTTGCTGTTCATTTCTAGTGCCTGCCTTCCCCCTGCACAGAGTACTGGGAATGAGACCACCATGGAAGAAGACCTGGGCTTGGTTGGAGCCTCTGCTGATGACACAGAAGCAGAGCTCATCCGCACCATTTGTGAGACGGAGCTGTTGGATGGTGAGTGTGCAAATCACACTGCAGTTCCTCCTCCTGGCCTGTTCCTTCCATTCTGCCAAGCATCTTGGTAATCTAATTCCTTCTGTAGCAAAGTGGCCGGGAAATGAAATGACCAATCAAGAGTCCCTGGTTTGCACTTTACCTCTGCCATGACTTCATGGTGGACCTCCTTGGCCAAGCTACATACTCTCAACCTATGTAATATGGAGTGCTAAAATGTACAGGATTGATGTAAGGATTGCAGGTAATAGACATGGAGTGCTTTGAGTATTATATGTAACCGTCAGTAATGACTATCAGGCTGATGGCTGCAATGCAGTCTTGTTCAGCAGGAAATCTGGGTTGGGCTCACATTAATGTAAGATGTGCTGGGTAATTTTCATTTTTTAAAAAGTCTATGCCCTGTGAGAACAGGGGAACCAAATTCTGGTTTGTAAGTAGCTTTTTCTACCACTTTGAAGTCAAAAGGGCAGATCCTGTGCATCTTGACTCAGCATCCACATTAGAAACCTCAAAAGTTGAGTTCTGCATTCTTTTTCTACTAATATTTAAGCAACTTTCTGCAGAAGCCAATTTTTTCTCAGCGGTCAAAACCTGCTCAATTCTAGCTAGCCCTAGATGTTTAAAATTATATGTTTAATCATAATTTCTTGGTTGTGCTTACCTGTCGACATTGCATACTTTGCATCCATCATGTTAACCATGAAGTCTTCTTAAATTTTCTTGAGAGAAGAAGTGGAGGTAGTTCCTAACCCACACAGTTGGGAAAAGGGTATTTTTAATGTTCTCTTGACTGAACTGCTGGGACCTCTGTACCATCTCTTACTGTACAGAAAGACAGATGCTTTCAAGCTTTGCTCCTCTGGTACTCAAGATTTGTAGCAATCCAGGACTCTACAGCGATCCAGCACTCTCAGCTGCCGCCGCCTTGGCCCTTGGAAAACTCTGCATGGTCAGGTATTGAGCTGTTTGGTTCCTCCTCCTAATTCTGAGTGGTCTTCCGGCATACCCCCCACATGCTGCGGATCCTGCCAGGCAGCCTACAGCTGGGAACCTCTTCACTGAGGTACCTGAAGTTGAGGGATTCTTGTTTCTATGCAGTTCAGAATTTTGTGACTCTCACTTGCGGCTCTTCTTCACAATGATGGAAAAGTCCACCCTGTCCAGTGTGCGTGCCAACCTCATGATCGCAGCCGGAGACCTGGCCATCCGCTTCCCCAACTTGATAGAGCCCTGGACTCCCCATCTCTATGCCAGGTAGAGCTTTGATAGGAGGAATATTGGAGGGAGGGCTTGGACCTAAAAGGCTGCAGCACAAAAGGAGGAGCAGGACCTCTCTCGAGGGGGAAGCCTTCGCGGGGTCCGACGGGGCACCTGGGGGTGTGGTCTGGATGGCCACCGACTGTCCGAACGGCTCTGTTCCCCAGGCTGCGGGACCCTTGCAAGCACGTCAGGCAAACGGCAGCCTTGGTCATGACTCACCTGATTCTGAAGGACATGGTAAAAGTGAAGGGGCAAGTGAGTGAGATGGCAACTCTCCTGACTGATCCTGCGGAGGAAATTGTTGCGCTGGCCCGGAACTTCTTTGCCGAACTCTCTAGCAAGGTGAGGCTCCCTGTGGAATTTCTGGAAAAGAAAGATCATCTTGCTTTGCTATGCTTCAAGTGCTGGTATTTGAAACCAATTGCCAAGCGTAGCAGTTACTTTAAAATTCCAGTAGGGCTTTTTTTTCAAGCATTGCAGAACAACTTGGAAAAGAAAGCTGAGCTGCCCTGAGGAAGAGACCGGCCCCTCCAGGTCAGTCCAAGTGCAAATGGCAGTTCATCTCAACAAGCATCTGCAAATGTGACCCTCTCCCCTTTTATGTGGAGCTGCCTGGTCACTTGTGGACACTCCTTTGCTGTGAACCACCTTTCCTATGGTTTAACTTCCTCCACTGGTGCCTAGATCAGGGTAAAGGTTATAATGCCTTGTTCAAATTGTTAATGAGGATAATGGCATCTTCCCTCCAGGGACGGCAGTAAGGATGTGGGTGCAGTAACTAGTTTACAACTCTAAATGACCCTGTTTGCTTCAATGAGGAACCACTGAGAAATACAGGCATGCGTCTCACCATGATGGCAAACTCGCAACAGAGCTTTACCGCTTCAGAAAGAGGAGGACAAGTGTGTGTGTGTGTGTGTGTGTGTGTGTGTGTTGTAATTTCAGGGAGCGAGCAAGGCTTCGAATCCTTTTTCTTGACTCTTGTTTTCTACACAGAGGGAAATGTGAGGTTTTCTTGCATGGGGGTTGCATCCTCATGAGATAAAAGCTAAGACCCAGGCTTACCATTTCAGTGAGAAACTCTTATCTTCAGATAAGAAAGATAGATAATAGGGGCATTCTTTGCATTCCTACAAAAACCTTCCTACCTGTCATCCTACTGGCTCTAAGCCCTGTTGACTCTCGCTGCTTTTTATTCCTCCTTTCTGGATTTTGTTCGGAAGGTGTAGCCTGGTTGTCTCAAGAGAAAGTCCGCTTTATCTTGCCCTTTCTAGACCTGCTTTCAGATAGCTGTTCGTATGCATTCTGTGTCTAAGAAACTTCCCTCTGCATGCCAAGCGGTAAAGAACAAAGCAGCTGTTTCATGCCTTTGTTTCAGGGGCTTGGCTTAGCCAAGAACCCCGAATGCTGCAGAATCCAGGCAGTGCTATCCATGGGCATAGCAGCTTTTGCTCTTGTCTTCTTCATGCAGGATAATGCTGTATACAATTTGCTCCCAGACATCATCAGCCGCCTCTCAGATCCAGAATCTGGCATAGAAGAGCAACCTTTCCGTACCATCATGAGGTACCTTCATTGTAGATATTTATTCTCCTTAAGGTCACATGTCCTAAGGGACAGAACTTCTTGGGTGCTCAAATTGACACAAAGAAGCAGGCCAAATTTGCTCATAGCTGTCTTGAAGTGCTTAGGAAATCTGGCTTGTATCTTATGTTGAAAGATAAGTCTGTCAGACAGGTAAATGGGAACCTCCTTGGTGTGATGCTCTAAATGCCACTTTCTGGGAAGGCAGACAGTAAGAGGAGTATGCAGTTACCTGAAGCATTTGTATACTACTGTTCAGACAAAACGGTTTCCAGAGTGGCTGGCTGGCTGATTTATTCATCTGAAGTTTTTATATAATGTCATTCATTAAACATTCCATGACAGTTTGATGTCTGATGCAGTCACAAAAATTAGTGTTAAATTCAGCGGTCCAGAATTTTTCACGCACCATTGGGATGTCCTTACAGGACTCTCACCTTGGATATCCCATGCAGTTCTAGTCACCCTGTCCGATAACACAGCAGTGCCCAGCCCCTGGGGCACCGGGGACCAGTTTCGTGGAAGGCAGTTTTTCCATGGATCGGGGTGGTTTCAGGATGATTCAAGCGCATTGTGTTTATTGTGCAATTTATTTCTATTATTATTACACTGTAATATATAATGAAATCATTATACAACTCACCATAATGCAGACTCAGTGGGAGCCTCCTGCAGCCCAGCCCTTGCCTCCTTCCTCGTTCCCGCGCTGCTCGCACGCACCCTCCCTGGCGTTTCCGCTCCACTTGGCTCCCGGCTCTGCCGGTGCCGCTGCTACTCCCTTTCTAGCCCAAGACCCAAAAGGGCCCTAGCGATAATCTGTTTTTGCAGCCGCTCCCCAGCAGTGATGCTAGTGCTGGGGAGCGGCTGCAGATACAAATGAAGCTTCGCTCACCTCCTGCGGTTCCTAACAGGCCACGGACCAGGACCAGTCCGCAGCCCAGGAGTTGGAACCCCTGGGATAACAGATCTAGGCTGGGGGTGGAGGGTAAAACAGGCAACAACTCCTCAAGGTTCTAGTCAAACTGAACCTAAATTGCTCAGGGCCCAGTTGCTGAGTCCCCACGTCGCCCCAGCAGCCGCAGGGGACTGAGGGGAGGGGATCTCACTGCACCTCAGAGAGGCTTTGAAGAAGGCAGGCAGCAGCACAAGTCTTGGTCATTCCACGGACATGGGGGAAAGCGACTGAAAAAAGGGCTTGCTCTGCTTGCCTTCTGCAAAGCCCCACAGGGAGGTGGTGCAACCAGGAGGGCCCCTTCCCTGTGGCCTGAGAGCTTTCTAGAGTACTTGGGGGGTGGGAACTGCGAGTGATGACATTGCCCATGTAGTGGGACAAATATGCTACACTGCCAGTTAAGAAGAGGAATGGAAATGCAAGATGCTGTGAAGGTGCGTTTTGAGCACAGACATTTTTCGTTCGTTAAATTTCTTTGTCATGGGTGAATTATTTCAGAGAGAGGGGTTTCTGTTCCTGATGGTGATGCTTTTGTAAAACTGACTTTGGCAAATAGTAACCTGTGACTTTGGAAGTGCAGGCAGGTTTCTGTTTTGTTCCCGAAGAGAAGGAAACTGCAGTAAGAGAGACTGCAAAAATACTTAATACTGGGGGGTCAGTAACAACTTCCTCTTTGCTCCCTCTTTCTTCCCTCCCCACCCCACCCTCTTCCAGGCAGCTCTTCAGTTTTATCACAAAGGACAAGCAGACAGACAGCTTGGTGGAAAAGCTTTGTCAGAGGTTCCGGACTGCCCAGTGAGTAAAGAATTACCGGGGGGGGGGGGCGCAGGAACATCTCTCAGTTCCTTCCATGCTGGAATTGAAACCATAATTTTGGAATGTAGAACTTGGTGGAGGAGGATCAGATCGAAGGTGTGTGTCCACTTCACAGAAATACGGCACTGATGAGTCCAGGAGACCAAAAGTTCATTTTCATGTTGTCACGGCCAAGAACCTTAACTAAGAGCACTTGGCCTCCCGGGAGCCTGGGCGATTGCCATCAGCTGCTGGGAGCCTGCAGTGCCCCTCCCACTTGGCAGAGGACAGGCAATTTCTGACGGACTGCAGCGGGGAGCTCTGTCTCGGGGTGCTGCATAGTCTCCTCGCCCATTTGGGGACTGGCAGTTAGGATTGTTACGGGAAAAACTTCCTGCCCTTTCTAGTGTTTCATCTAAAAATGTAGCAATGCCATATTTGCTAGCTTTGGGGGTAGGGCAGGATACAAATTCTATTTTTGTATTAGTCGCCATTCTGTGCCATGACTGTTTTGAGGTCAGCAAAACCTAGCTAGCTGAGCACCTTTTCTGGATTTTAAAATGGATGCTGCCCTAGTTTTAAGAGGGGAAACCTAAAGGATCTATGTATCCGTATTTGTGTTAAGGAAAACATGTGTACATAAACGGCATCATCTGCAAAGGGGTTTTTTTTTAATTATGCATTTTCCAAATTGATCATTTGAAAAGGAGTGATTTGTCTGATTTGTCTCATTTGAATGCTGAACTGAAAGCTGAGGAAGCAGTTTCAACCAGGCACCAAGCCAGACTCTTTTGCAATGCTTCCTATTATCAAAGTGAATAAGCAGCCCAGCCTTGGAAACATCAGGTTTTTAGTGAGCTTTACTACTTTGTATGAGACTACACCATCCATTTTTGTTTTTCTCTGTTCATTTTGAAAAATCAATCTTCCTCTGCCTTCACCTCCCATAAATGACCACAAATCCTTATTCTACCAGTGATAATTACTTTTGTACTGCCCATCACTGAAAATAGCATCAGATGTTTCTTATCTTGTTACTGTCTTCCTGATTTTAGCTGTCTGCTTCCTAGGTTTCTTTACCTGAATGGCCTAATTTGGCTGAGTGGTCCATCCAGGTCTGGACTGTACCCCTTTACACTCCAGATGGAACTGACAGGATGGAAACCATTCCAACTTAGAGATGAAAAACTACATTTCAGAAAGAAGGTTTTGGCCATTTTGGTTCTCTCCCCCACTTGCCATGGCAAAGGGAGGGACAAAATCTGATGAACAGTAGAAACCCATAGATTCCTCCAAGCCCTGGAGCTAACTACACTGGACGGGGCCTGAATCCCAGCTGCAAAGTTAGGTCTGGGATTTGGCAGGTGGGGCGTGTTGCTGGTGCAGCCACAGACACATAAGAAGCCTTCAGCTCCGGGCTAGTGAGGGGAGGCAGAGGTGCAGGCCAGAGAACACCACCAGCTAGGAGCACTGTTCCCCAGTTTTGCTTGGCCAGCCAAGCTTTGTCAGCCCCTGAGCTTAACCCCATTTTTCATGAGCAGATGTCTTGCAACAGACCTCCTTTCTTCATGGCTCTGCCTCTTCCTCTACTGAAAACATTTGTTCCTCCTTCTCAAAACTGACTTGTGCAAATTTAACCTGAGGCCACATGTCTCTACCTTCCTGCAATCAGAGGGATCAACTGATGTGCTTTTGACCTTGATCGGTTCCAGCTGCTTCGCAGGCCAGTGAATTTCTGGAAATTTCACACCCAGAAATCTCCACACTGCTTTTTGGTACTCTCCATTGAAGTTATCTGGGCCTGTGCAGAAGCATAGCCATAACTGCTCAGATTGTTGACCATTCTTAATTACTGGTATGTTCAAAAGCAACATTCGCCCTTAAAAGGAGGTGTTTGCAGGAGCACGAAATCTGCGCCACATACTATGCAGAACACACGAAGTGGCTGCGCTCACATTCTGCTCTAGGCTTCCCATGGGCATTTTGTTGGCTTATGTGGGAAGCCGGGCTCTGGGCTAGCGAGGCCTTTATTCTAGCAGGTCTGCTCTCAGGTTGGAAGATTTGCTTGTTTTGCAATGTCACTACTGCTTGGCCAAGTTGTACCACTGAGGTCCCTGCAACACATTGAGAGCAAGGCTCTGTCTGGGTTTTGAGCAGTGCCCACTCCCTGGGCTGGCGATGTTCTCACTGAAACTGAGAGCAGCTTGGTTTTCTCCCTCTTTGCAGAACAGAGCGGCAGCACCACGATCTGGCTTATTGCCTCACCTTGCTGCCTCTCACAGAGCGAGGTCTCAGTAAGATGCAAGACAACTTTGACTGCTTTGCTGACAAACTCCAGGACACCGCTGTCTACAGCTGCTTCCTGGCAACGTTGGGCCGGCTCCGCCGGGTGGGGACTAAACCTGAGGTGAAGGTGAGGTCCATGTCTTTCCCCAGGCAGGGAGAATTTGCCACATTTCTGTTAGAACAAAATATCAGATGTTGTTCCTGAGCATGCAGTGTTCTTTCACCTGGAATTTCCACTCACTTCTGCACATGGTGTCCTCCCTCAGGCCCTGACTGAAGAATTTGAGCAGAAGCTCTGGATGTGCCACAGCAAGGGACTGGACTCCCTCACTGAAGCTCCCAGGGAGCCTGGAGGCGAAGGAGACAGCAGTACTCCAGTGCTCCAGCTAGCAAAGAAGAAAGCAGCAGCCAGTATGTCTGAAGTTGCAGCACGCATTAAAAGTTCCTTGGCTACTCTTAAACTGCCCAGTTTTTCACATTGGCCGCTTTTAAAAATATTTCCATACTAATGGGGACCACATGAATGCCCCCCAGGGACTCTGTTGAGCTGCCAAAGAGAATGTAGCAAGAGACACAGTGTCACACCGGAGGGATGTCTTGGAGTTGATAGGCGCATTAACAAACCCATTCTCCCCTTCATTCCTTGTTTTTGTAGGCTTGTAGAAAAGCATATTGTTGCCCACTTTTTTTCTGGAACAATGGAATATAACCTATGTGTCTCCTTTAAAGCAAAAGTTGAAAAGTCTTGGGATTTTGAAAAACCTTGCAAAGGCTTAGCGATGTAACATGCTGTGCAAATTTCTACATGGCACATAGTGTTTAACTCTGAAGTTATGGGTCAGCATACTCAGGATTGGTTTGGATAAAATTCCGCATTCAGATAATCCCTTGTGTAAGGTGCATTTGGAAAAGCTTTAGGACAAGTGAGAAAACGACACATGATTTTGCGCGAGGAGCTGCCTAAGAATTGAAGCTGGGAAAATAAGTGTCCCATTCATTTTATGAAGTATGTAGTCATAATGTCTAGCTAATCACCTGTACATCCAAGTCCATTGTTCTGCAGTGACTTCAAAGGCCCATTTACCCTTCACAGGTTCACGTCGGCGACCTCTGCGTACAGCCAACAGAGATACCAACTCTGCCTTCATCACCCCTGAGCCCTGTAATTCCAGACCCCGCAGAAAGATTTCAAAACCAAAAATTGCTGTTGTCTTTTCTAGTGATGAGGAGAACAGCCCAGAGGAGGGTGAGAATAACATTCTGTTTGCCTGAAAGTTGGACTGGTTGAAAGATCCTTGTAATTTATGTGCTTGATTTCAAGGAGACACTTGACCAATCTGTGTGTTTTCTTCATTAGCTCTGTGTTTTGCTAGCCACTGTAGAAACATTTTGCACTGAAGAGCAAGCTATACGTGAATACAATTAATAAAAATAGCATGTGATGTTTGGACACTGGTGGTTGTTGCCTCCTATTGCTCTGTCTTCCATATTTGCCATTTTCCTCCAAAGCCATCTGATCCCTCTTTTTTTCTCTCAGAACTTTCTGCTGAGTTGACAGAGGAGGAGACACCTATCAAAACAACTCCGATTTCTCGTGCATCATCCCGCCGCTGATAATCCTGCTGTCCTGAAGACTCTCCTGGTTAATGGGAAATAAAGTTCATTGGGTTTCTAAAGAACTATGTCTCCTGGTTTTGTACATGTTAAAGGGATGCAGAGGGAGTCAACTGGGTCTTGCGTCACAAAATGGAGATCTCACAGCCTCTCTGATCATGGGTTTTATCTGCAGGTACTAGCAGACAGTGCAAAAAGCAGCACTGGACCTCAGCACATAGGGAAATGGGTGTCATTCCTTAAATAATACTATCTCTGTATTTAGACTGGTCCTGACTTCTTAAAAATGCCCCAGAAAGTCCCCTAGCAGACCCTTTTATGGCACAAGAGAGCCGTGCTGTTATAGCTGCTCCCCGTTTTCTTTAAAACATCATGGGAAAACAAGGTGATCGTAAGTTAGGGACAGCTGCTGTCTGGCTTCGCCCCACATGCTCCCCATCCCCAGCAGTCCTTGCCTGACCCCAAGCAATGCTGCCCTGACTGGGAATAAGGGCCACCAGGCACCTGCTGTGCTGCCCCGGAGCTGTAATCCTGTGTGAGGGGGAGAATGGCTTGCGGCTGCTGGTGTTGAGCAACCTCCTCTTTGAAAACTGGTGGCAACAAAAGCGAAGCCGCAGCAATCCTTTTCCCAGTGTCAGTGGTGCTGCAAAGCCTACGGAAAGAAGGAGCAGCCCAGACCAGCTTCCACCTGAAGCAGAGTCTTGAGGCTCATGGGGCAGGATAAAACTCTGATAGATAGATAAATACCTGGATAATTGCTCCCGGTGGGTGGGGGAACAGGCTTAAAGTTCCTCCTCAGCTGCTAATCTGCAAGGCACCTCTCTCTCAGCTGAGCTGGGCCCCTGGAGTTCAGTGCGTGCGAAGTGACTCCAGTATTTGCTTTGATCCTCCTAGACCCCCACTCCCCCTTGAGGCCTTCAGGGACAAAGGCAAGCTGCTCCAACTTGTGGGATTTGGTCAAGTTCTGCAGAACTGACCCAGACCGTCCTCATGAAGAGGCCCATCTGCTTGTGGGATCGTCTAGACTAGAGAGAGGCTCTGGCATATGCACAGGTTCTACTTCAGGGAGCATGTCTGTCCTGCTGCTGGTTTTCAGTTACCTAAACTGGCCTGGAACCAGCTGCAAGGGGGGAGGAGGAGGAGGAGTTTTGCACACCGAGTGTAGGAAGGTGTAGAGCAAAGGGGGAAAGCCTTCTCCAGCCCGGTGGCCAAACTCCATTTCACAGAAGCTCTCGGGAGGTGCTTTCTAGTGGTGGGACGGGCTGAAAAAGCCCCCTTCCATTCTGCGCCATTCATAGGAGGAAGCACGTCTCTTCAGAAGCAGGCAAGCGCCCTGCATCTACTCGGAAAGCAGCAGGCCTGCATCATTCAGCGGCTTCCGTCATGCTGCCCCCCTGCCCGAAGCAGGGGGAGAACAAAGCTTTCCCCTGGTGGCAGATGGGGCCGGGGAAGAAGCAGCTGGGCCGGGCGGCGAGCACTGCCGGCCTTATTCAGCGCTGGCGTCTCCCCACTATTCCCGGGCCTTCGTGTTCCAGCCCGCAGTTTTCCCTCAGCCCTGCGGAATCGGCTGCTCCCTTTCTCTCATGCCATCTTGGGGGAGGGATGGGGGGAATGGCCTTTGTGGAGGCTGCGCTGAGAAGGAAAGCTAATCCATCCTCTTGTGCTTGGAAGCTCAACAATAGTGCACCCCCCACAATTAGCCTTGACAAAAAAAGCCTCCCCCCCCCCACAGTTTTCATACATATGTCATGGCCTGGGTCATCTTTGGTAGGATGCGTAAGTGGCCCTACCTATCCTTGCTTTGGCTTGTAATCCTCGAGGGGTTAGTCTTGAGGGAATGTAGCCCTTGGGCTGAAAAGGGGACCGAAATCCCTCTGCAAAGCCATGACAAGCAATTCCTGCTTTTGATGCTACTTCCTACTTCAGGTTGCCACTGACCTAAAAACATTTCCTCAAAATGCATTTTTCCCACTAGCATAGCTGTACACCTCAGCTGAGCTGAGCTGAGCTGAGCTGAAGGGCAGCTGAGTCTTGGAATGGTCTGCTCTGGAGTGCTAGAAAACAGACTAATCTGGATTTGATTAAAGAACAGGACAATAATCATAAATACCTATTTTCCACAGAATTCGGGAGTTTGTCTGAGCCAAATGGCAAGCAGAATTTTCTGGCAATGCCCTTTCTTGCCCTAAGGGAGCTGAAACTCTGAACTGTGACGTGGACACTGCTGTTGCATACTATGAAGTATGTCTTGCTCACTGGTTTCCTAAGTGCAGACTTTGGCCCCTATGTACAGATCATCCAGGATTTTACCAGCTTCTGTTGTTTTTGGTTACTGCACAGAAGCCTTTTCACCTAATGAGAATGAGCCGTCCCTTAAGTTATTTTTTCTTTCTGCAACATGTAGAGACGAGGCAATCCAGAACTGTACACAATGCTTGTCGATATGGATACACCACGGAGTTATGCTGGAGTTACTTGATGTTCAGCCCCATTTCTAACATCAGGACAGGCTTTCTTTCCTGGAATAAATGGAAAACTTGGGGTTTTCAAATTTAAGATGAACAATTATTATTACTATTATTCTATTTTATATTATACTCTGCTTTTCTTCCTTTTGCAAGGAACCCAAAGCAACATACAAGCTTCTCTCCATTTTATCCTCACAACCACCCTTTGAGCTAGGTTATGCTGGGAGTCCAGGAATCACCCACTGAGCTTCATGACTGAGTGGGAACTGAAACCCAGAGCTCTCAAGTCTTAGTCCTGTACTCTAACCACTATACCACAGTGCCTTTTATTCACAGCCACTGGTGCATTCTTAACATTCCATTTCTTTGTTGTCTTCCACTTGGTAAACCTGTGTGTGCTTTTATCATCTGTTGGTTTCCAAACAGCAACTTCGCTGCCATGATTTAGTCATGAGACTTTCTTTGTAAAAAAGAAAGAGCAAAGAAATCAGAAAATCCAGTTGGGCCAGCAACACTAGGAGATAGTCTGTCTCTTGTTGGGAACTCTGTGGGGCCCGAACATGAAAAAAGAAGCAAGCTTTCTGACTGGTTTCCAATCAGAGCTCAAAGAATGAAATACAACCAGTGCTTTTGTTAATGTTGTACCCAGACTCAGGAAAACTGGATTCTCGTCCCTGCTCAGTCATAAAGTTCACTGGGTGACTTTGGGTCAGTCACTGACTGTTAGCCTAACGCACCTCATGGGGTTGTTGTGAGTATAAAATGGAAAAAGAGAATTATGTGAATCACCTTGGGTTTGATGGAAAAGGGGGGAAAGGGCAAGGTATAAAAATGATAACTAATTTAAAAACAGCTGCAGTATAAACCAAGGTGGGTTTCATAGATTAGTCTGCAAAACACAGTAAGACTTCATTTAATTTCAGCAGCTGTCATCACCTACCACTTGAATCTATATTTTTGGCCAGGGCTGGTAGGAAAACAAATATACAGAAGGAGTCTAATAGACACCAATATATGTGAGGTGTTTTATGTACCAAAAAATCCCCTTTTGGTGTGGGTTCAACCATAGCATAAATAGGATTCAAGCTGGAATTAACTTCCTTGAAGTTATATGGTGACATCTAACTGTATTTAAAGCAAATGGTTCAGAAACAGTGAAAAGTTTTAAAAGATGGGGGAAATTGAGCTGTTCATGGCAGAATCATAGTAAATACATTATGCCTTCAACTTTAAAACTGATTTAGCTTGGTAGGTTTTCCTGTGAGCTGTCCAGAGACAAACGTGATTGGACGAGCTAGAAATATCCCAGATAAATAAATAGGTTTTTCAAATCTTGTTTGTAGGGAAAATATAATTCATCCCATTCAAAATGGAGAGAGGAAGCCAGACACCCAAACATCTGTTCTGGACCAAGAAACGGTGCTGAAAATGCTAGTTATCTGTGGTGAATCTTTGCTCACCTTAGCCTTCCTAATCATGCAGCATTCCTAAACCACCCTTTGCCTGAAATCATTAGATCTCTCCAGGAGATGTTTCTTCCAGAACAAGGATGATAATTTCCAACTCCCTATTACTAGTCAAAACCAGTTTCACTGGAAGGGGGGAAAGGATAGCTGTCAGGAAATTGTGTTCCTTGGGATGCAAAGCTTGAGGCCATTACAGGAAGGAGGCAAAACTTCTCAGCCATTGAAAAGTAAGTACCACCATTCAGCTGACCAGAAAACAAAAGGAAAAGATCTGGGGAAGCAGCTTGCAGAGAGGCCCAGCTGAAGGTAAAGGGGGAGACCTGTGTGGGGTTGTCAAGAGCAGATCTTTAGGCAGGCAAGAAAGATGAAAAATCAGGATCTGGATCCTTCTCAACTGGACTTTTTGGCCAAATGTCAAACACCACTTTGGCCCTCCACACGGTTCTGCTTTCCCTTGGTATCCAGCCTGTGTGTGCTGATTTGTCCATTTATCAGATGTATTAAGTGCCCCTTCCATTCTCAGCAAAATACAGAAATTTGAACTATTGCATGACTTTAGTCCATCACGTGCAGTACACTCAATTCCTATGTATTCTGCTCCAAAACACTCAGGGCACTCCATGATCAGAAGCTATTACACAAGGTAAATTACTTAAAATAACTCTAGAATCTGGATTTGATGAGCAGAAGCTAATGTATTTGTAGGAAGTATAAGAGAAATATTGTGCCAGAATGGGAAGATGTATTAGCAGGGAGGGGCAGGTTGCAAAACACACAACCAGGAAATATTGACCACAATGACAACCTGATCCTTTTTTTTCAGGGTAGTAGCTGCTAGGTCCTAGTAACCACTTAACCAACCACAGCTTGCACTGTTTTTTGAATCCTGCTGATTGCCATAAAATAATCAATTTCTGCCCTTCTGTTTCCAACTTCCCTTTTCTGGGAGGTTTTTACATTTAAGATTGTGACTGTGGTGCCATATTGCATCTTTAGTCATGAGAATAGGCAGCAAAGAAGACAGAACTAAAAAAAATTGGCATTCTTCCTGGGCGGGGAAGGGAGCACTCCCGGGCTTTTGGTTCCCTCTGCTTCTAAGTGACAGTATTTCTCTGCTGCTCCTGAGCCCCTGCCCTGGGAGCGGCCTTTGAGGCATTTTCTTCTAGGCTGGACTTCCTGCTCTCTCCTCCCAAACAGTGGGACGGGAGGGATTGTCACTACAGCATCTCATGCACGCCTTCTGTGGCAACACAGCCACTCCACCCGGCTTTGCTACTGTGTTCCTCCTCCGTCGGCAGGCGAAAGCGAGCATGGAAGGCCGTGCCACTGCCGCCAGATTCCACCAGCTGCGCCATCGGGCTATGCATTTTTCTAGATTCACAACCAGGAAGAAATCATGCGCAACGGCTGCAAACTGGCACGGCATTGCTACATCTCCCACAGGCCAGGCCTGGAAAAGGGAAGTTGGTGCTGCAGGGACTCGGTTGCCTGCTCTTTGGGGCTGAGGCCCAGTAGGGCCACACCAGTATGTCTCTCAGCCAGGAGACCACACTGCATGCGGGAGCCGTTCCCTCCCTGAACACTCCCTCTGGAGTCAGCGTGGACCAGGGTGACCCCTCTGCGGGCCAGAGACTGGGGAGCAGAGACCCAATCGTCCAGCCAGCATTCTCTCCTCCCCACCCTGAAGAGGAGTCCCTTCCCCTCAGGTCCCCAAAATGGATGGGCAGGGTGCTGGCGGTGACAGACAGTGTGGCCCTCCAGAAGCAGCCTCAGTTCCAGAGAAGGGAAAAAGGAGGAAGAACCTCCTGCTTAGGTTCCAGCCCGGTCAACTGGCAGCAATCCCCTCCCTTGAGGAGTCTGGGACACCACGGCATCCAACATGGGAGGAGAAACTGCCTAAGGTGCACATGAGATGCTGACCTTGCTGTGTAGGAGAGAGAGCCTCTCCTGCCCCTCCCAGGCCTGCTCCCAGCAATGCTTTGGAGCAAAAGGGCACGGAGGAAATGAGGCAGCGAGCTGTTTCAGGTTCACTGTGGACTTGGCAGTTTTTACCTTTACATTTTCTTTTTCATTTTGAGAGCCACGAGTCTTCTCTCTAAGGAGCCTGGGCATCATGTTGGAGCAGCATTTAAAAAAAATTGTGCAAAAATACATGTGCAAAAATAATATTTTAAAATTGTAATGCCATAAGTACAAATCCCATTTGGTTAAGTACAAGCAGGTGCATTTGAAGCCTCAGCTGGGGTTCTGTGTAGAGGAGTGCCCCTGCCAAGGAACAGTGAGTTCCCACCTCAGACATCGCTCCGGATGAGGCTTGAAACCCATTCCTGCCATTACACCTTCGCTTCCCCCGCCAGCTTGCTAAAATTGCTAAAATCTCCCTGTCATTTTTTCCCAAAGGGAAATTGAGTTCCACATGTGGCTTTGAAGGGTCTCTTCAAAAAGGAGATTTTAAATGGGAACGTGATGGACTTAGACTGGGACATGCCTCTGACAATGCCCCAGTTCAACATCCCCATCTCACCTGAGAAATCTTTTCGAAAAAGGACCCTGCATGTTGATAGCAAATGCCAATCCAGTTTCCAGCTTTAAAATGAAGGGATGTACTTTTAGCCCTTCCCAAACCTCCAGAGGTTCAGGACAAAGGTCAAACTGTGATCCCAAATGGAGACTAAAGGAGACAAATGAAAAAAATTGATCTTGCTGAGAAGCATGTGTCAATAGTGCAACATTCCTCCTTTCCAGAAAAAGATAATTCCCTCATAGTTTGGTTTCCTTCCTTCAGTGCACCATCAAGAGAAAGCCAGGTGGTGCGGGAAACAGACTCTATGCCTTGGCTGAGACAATGCCCAGGATAGGCACCTAGGAATTTAAATATAGGAGTGCATTAGTGAAAAATAGCATTCTCTAAATAACCATTTATAGACCACACTGTTGCTCAGTGGAACCATTCATGTAAAAATTATTTTATTTATTTTATTGCCTTTATTAGGCACTCATAGCAACATGCAGTCAATCAAAAACAGGACTATAAACATAGTATAATCAACCCTAAGTAAAATATAATCCGAATCTGTTGGGAAAATTCAGATAATTCCTGGCAGAAAAGGGTTGCTTCTATGTGTCTTTGTTATAAGATCAAATCTGTGCCCCTTTCTCAGAAAGCAGCAGAATTCCAAGCCAGGTCACTGTTTAGTGCGGCTGTTACTTTAAGATGATGGAATTCTTAGCTGGACTGAGAAGCTGCTATAAACTAACACTATCTGTGGGGAAATACTGGTGTTCCCATCAGCTGCAATAGAGACAAAAGGTGTCCATTTGTTTCTGAATTGATCCATTTAATCATCTAGCTCAACTGAGGCAAGCACCTGTGCAGTGTAGTTGTCAAACCAGTTTTCCTGAATGTTTCCTTAATCAGACACATTTGCATGTTTAAGCAGACACAGAGGCTGATCCAGACTGCAAGGAATCTGCTGAATTGACATGTCAGTAAAGCAGTCAGTAATATTTTCCATACGATTGTTACCAGTATTTCTGATTAGAGCATTAGGTCATGCCTAAAGACATCAGGATACTATTGTACCAACATTATCTGGAAACTTGACACTCTGTATTGGTGTATGTGACCAGCAGGTTATAAAAGTGTCTGCATGTGGGCTGTGATTTTGTAGTTGTCTTTGTCTCTATCTGGGAGCATGTTGATAGTTACTGAAAGAACTGGGGCCCCAGTTCAATAAAACTGCATAAGTTCAGGTGTGTAGATCTTCCCCATGTGTCTGAGTGTTAATTCCTCACAAACTGAAAACCAAGAATCTGTCAAAACCAGTCCCTAAAACTAGCAAATAGCAAACCAATCTCAGTAATAACAAACCTCTTGAACTTATCCATCAGAATCAGCCAAAATCAAGAAGAAAAATGCAGCCACCAAAAGTCCCCTGCTCCAGACTGAGGTTGGCCTGTTCATTTACTTCCGTGTAAAGATGACTGTGTTCAGAGACATACAATCCTGCCTGCATTTCTGGCACATTTTCGTTCCAGCCCTCCAGATCTTATTAACCGATAGCAGATCCTATTTTGTGTTTCCTTTTGAGTGGGCCTTCTCTAATAAATACTGTCCCGCTCTTGCCAGTAGATGGCAGCAATAGTGCCAGCATTGTAGGGCCATGTGTCCATATTGCAAGATCCCAGGGGTCGTTTTTTCTCATTTTCCAGCCCTCTTCTATTCAAAAATGTTTGCAATGTTTCAAAAGTAACGATGCCAAGGTGTTCCCTAATGCTGCAGTTAGGCTTCAGGGTGACTGGCTGGGTTAAAACCAAGTTAGTTTGTTTAACTTTTTAAAGTTAGGGTCTTGCTGTCAGGCTAAAACTGTGAGCATTATCTTGCCTAAGCACAGAAAAAACAACTCTTTATGTTTATTCTAATGAGCTGCACTCCCCCTGCAACTCATCTGACTTGATTTTTTGTGGTTAGAGATGTTTCAGCCCCATTGTTTTAGCTTGGCATTTACTGTTCTCTTACCCTCTGCAACTGTCTGTGTTTAAGGCTGGGAAACCATATGGAGGAAGCTCTCCGACCCATGTGCCTGATGAACGGGTGTCTCATCTGTCCAATCTTCAGTCTGCATGTGCTCACCTACTGCACAGCATCATGTTTCATTGGTGTTGGGAGATGAGACAGGCCTTGATATACTTGTCCATATGAATAATTCTGTGATACGTTTTCAGGGGGCATGGAATCGGGACAGAAGTTCATGTGTGAGAATGCGGAGGATGGAGAATGTGCAGTAGCCTGAATGGACTCTCTGCCACATGAGGATATTGATATGCTAGGCTAAGACCGCACTGCTAGGTAGGGGAAAGCAGCCCTCCTTCGGCAACAGATTCTCAGGTGCCATGAATCTCCAGTTATACTTACAATAACATTTTAAATGTTTCTTTCAAGCCTGCAGCCTGTTCTGGCCACTTGAGCAGGTGTTTTGCAAACGGGCAGAGCTGGGAAAGGCCCCTGGACCAAGCAGGGGCAGCCACGGCCATCTGATGTGCAGATGGGCCAAGCGTTCAGTGCTCGAGTCCTGCGCTCCTAAACAAAGGGGAGCCACCCAGGGCGTTTGCATGCTGGCAATTCGCATCACAAAATACCAGGGTGCACAAGGTGAGCGTCTGTGCCCCAGTGAAAGTATAAAGAGCGGCACATTAGCATCCCGTGTGCCTCTGTCCTTTGTCCCCTGTCCTTGCAGGCAATTGTTTACTCATCAAAGAGCACACTTGGATTGTGCAAAAGCTCTGGGCTCAGAGTTCCCCCTTTACTCTTTGTCCCCTTTACATTATGGCGTCCCTGAACAACACGCAGCCATGAAACCTGCGACCTGCCAAAGCCTCGATAAACCTCATTATTTTGCTCCTGCCTGAGGCTGCGATGTCAGGCCACACACCTGGCTTGTGGGGTCACAAGCGGCCCATAGTAGCCCACATCCGATGCAAGAATTATCATTCTGATGTGGATGGGAGCAATGGGGTCTCTACAGCCCCTTTTGGTATCCTTTAGTATCAAGTTATACACCATCCCTCTGGCCTTTCGTTAAAGGTTATAACCTCAGCCAGGGCTAAACTTAGCACCTTGGTCCCTCAGTAGTATTGGGAATAGCAGCTGGGTGTTAAGAATCAAGTTACATCCTGAGCCAAATGAACTTTCTCCAGAATCTCTTGGTATCTAGCCTGCAAACTGTCCTCCACCTGCCTCCCTTCACCAGCTCCTTGGCCGTTTCTGTCCGGTTTTGCAAAGCTATACAGGCTAAGGATGGGTGGGTGGGCTACAAGCACATGCTGGGTGGCTTTGGAATACTTGAGCTGCAACTCTGGCTTATCGTGTCATCTGAACCCAGTGAAGGTTGGTTGCTGGTGTGGTTAATAAACCACCCACAACCCTGAAATAGCCCATGGATTCTAAGTGATCTGTTAACCGTGCCAACAACCCACCCTCACCACATCTGGATGACGACAAGCTGCACTTGTGGCATGCACATTCAGAAAGGCCTCCTGCTCATTTTGCAGTCCAATATGGCTTAGATACCACACACTTGCATGGCTGCATCATGAGAACTGACCCAGTGAGTAAAAGATGCCTAGAGAGGAGCTGTTCTCACAGAAGTAGGACCACACATTCGGTGCTTGGGACTTCTCAGCCATCAACACTGAAAGGATCACAATGATTATTGACTGGATCCATTTTACTGTGAGAGGCAGACTCGTGGTTCTGAATTGTTATGACACTGTTGCCAAGGCTATGCCCTGGAGCAAAATGTCTTATCCACACGAAAGTTGTACAAACACTGAACAAGAACGAGCGCTCTTTCTCTAAGGAGCCACAAGTCACCTGAAACACACCATGTCAGACTGTGCCAGTGCTCCTTGGCCTCCGCGGGTGTTGAATTCCCTGATCCATATACAGTTAAAAGGACATTTGATCTGGTGCAGAAATTTTACCCAAGCGCCCACAGGAGAAGGATGTTGGGCTACCATCTTAAGATGAAACCCAAGCCTGTGCCAGGCAGATCAAAGCTGCAGCAAGAATGTCAAATCACTTTCAGCCTAAGGCTAAATTCATGTCCAGAGAAGCTCTCAGGCCACATGGGGCAAGGAGGCAAAAGCAGGTGGGGAGAAAGGTGAAAGGGGCAGGAGCACAAAAAATAGTATATTTTAGCTCAGAGCTCTTCCTGACAGTAACTAAGTCTTTGGAACGACTCTTCAACCTGTTAGAAGGCAGGTGGGGAGGCACAGCTGGGCAAAGTAGAGAAACCCCAAACTGCAGGGGAGCAGGGGAAGGGCAGGCCAGCTCAGGGACCTCTCCATGAACTGCAGCCCACCTTCTGCTTAGTCCTGACCTTAAATATGACACTTCCCCCCCCCCCAACTTTGTCACACATTCCCCCTTCCCTGGATGTGGTGTCCTTGGTACCTGACAGCATCCTGTCGCCCCTGCCCCACACTGCTTTGTAATCTCTGGGCATCAACTTCCTTTTTGGTGAGGAGCTGTTCAGAGTTTGCACATTTCACTATGGCAGTGTATGACCACGGGCAGCTTCTGCCCCTGTGCGTCCTGCAAGAGAGGCGCTTTTCCTGGCGATTTGCACATTGCAGCCCAACGGAGGCCGCTCAGCCTCGGCCCACGCCGGGGCCCAGGCGCAGCCCGCGTCCTCTCCGCCGGGCGCGCACAGCCCAATTGCGAGGCGAAGGCGGGATTTCCGCCGTCACGTTCCCCGGGTAGACCCCGCGGCAGGCAACCCCCGGGCTCGTTAGAAATGCTGCTCACGTTGTGGGGGGGGGGGGGGCGGCGGCGCTGCTGGGTCAGTGAGCAAGCGGAGCGCGAGCGGCCGCAGAGCCTGCAGAAAAGGGCCCCCCGAAAGGGGCGCGCACAGGCTTTTGTCTGCGGAGGAGAGCCGGGACGCCTGGCAAAGTTGGCTCATTGTGCGCGGGACCTCGCTCTCCGCTCCACTGGCACCGGCAGAAAAAGCAGCTGCCAACGGGCCGGCTCCTTTTAGGCAGCTGAGCGCGCAGCTTGTGCGCGTTTAGCTGGGAGGGAGGTCTATTGAAATCCGTGGGACTGACTTCCGAGTAAAGATGGGTGCGGCCAGGTTGCAGCAGCCCCGTCGCTGGGACTGATCTGAGCCGGGGCTTTCCCTGCACACCGCACCACGCGGGAGTCAGAAACACGTGTGCCTCTCTCTGAACATGCCGGCTCCTGTTTTTCCGGACCGTTGCAATGCCGGCTTGCCGCACCTGCGGATGGGGGGGGGGGCACAGTTCCAAGACTGGGTGAAGGGTCCCCCCCCACACACACACCTCTTTGCACAGAAATGGGCCACTCGGGAAATCAGATCTGAAAATCCTTGTTGGCTGCTGGGTTTAGGCAGGGGTCGAGCCCAGATACACATGAAAAAGAAACCGCTGAAGACAAACGATACATTTTGCTACACCAACTTCCCGGGAGGATCCCCTCCATATTACAGTTGCATGAGAGTTCTGACTAAGTAGGATGGGACATTAAGAATTATTCCACAGAAAATAGACCATAAACACTATAATGCTGTCATCAGTACTTCTCTTACATTGGTGCCTACGAGAGGGGTCCAGAAAGGGCATGCAATAAACAACAACAACAATTAAAAAGGAATTCCCAACCAGAAGCAAGCTATTTCTGCGGTTAACCTTGGAAACCCTCGGTTATCCTTTGAGTTTGGGGGAGAAGAGGGAAGCAGGTATTGCTCACCTCCTCCCTCAGTTGCAGGGCTCAGTTCCGCCTTTCTCCTTCTTGGTATTAGCCGTGATGCAAGCATTTCCTAATACGGATGAGTGAGGAAAGAGGAAGGCAGGCAGGCAAACCTGGGAGTACCAAAAAGTGTTGTTGATTCTCCTGCTAATTTTGGTACAGGTGGAATTTGGTACAGGTGGATTCTCCTGCTAATTTTGGTACAGGTGGAATTTCTACAGAATGAGTGACTTCTTAGATGAAGGAAGGTGTCCCAGGACTGGTTTGTTAAAGGTATATTCATTGCTTGATCTCTGCCATGTACAGAGATAAGCTGAGTGTATCGGTGAGAAATTACAAATCCAACCCACCTACTACTACACAACTTTGTGCTTTTCAGTGGAGTGCACAATATACAAACATAGAACACTCAAGTCACATGTTTGAAGAGGCTCTCAAGAGTCACACAGGGAGGGCTTTGATTGTCCATCGACCAGGCACCCCACACCCCCTCCATCCCTGCCCCTCCCCACTGGGTCTCCTGCTCACCTCTCCTCTTGTGTTTCCTGAACATCCTTGGCCAGGGTTCATCCAGGGCAACCCTCCCCAGGAATGGGGACTTCCTTCTAATTTCTTTCAGCTAAAATAGCACCTTGGGACCTACAGACCCAGTTGGGTAGACCTCCCCAGGGGTCCGGGTATCCTGCCCTGCTGGTGGCAGCATGCCCTCAAGAACCAGTTTTCTCCAACCTCCTCTATTCAAGTCTGTAGCACAGACCAGGCTGACTAGAGCATCACACAGGCAGTATCATAGGGATGCCAAATAAAAACTTTAAAAAAGAAAAGAAAAAAAGAGGGGGGACTTGGGCATGGAGGGTTTTTGGTTTAGGAACTGTTGTTTTGGAGGAAAGGACCAGCTCTACCACATTCCATGTAAAAAGTTGTGGAGTTGGAGGGACAGTCAAAGGAGGGACAGCCATAAAAAAGCAATTGTGTTGCTTCGTTCTGTTGCCAGCTGTGGGAGGCGGCTACTTTGAGAAAGACGGTGGTGGTCCCATTTTGCCACTGTCATAAAAGTGTCTCACTGAATGGGCGCACTGTCTCCGGGAGAGAAGCCTCTGGGAGTGCACAGACAGGAAGCCAAGGTGAGGAGGGCCGTTCCCCCTTTCTCCTTGGCCTCCCTAAGAGCTACCTAGTCACTCTCTGAGCATGGAAATTCTGTTATGAGCTCCAATAACAAGGGTGGGGACCCAATTCTACTGGAAAATACTTCACTGGAAGTGCAAAGGGAGGGATGTGGCTAAACGGGAAGGGAAGGACACGTTGCAAATGAAAGGTCCAACTTCACCTGCCTGTGGTCCTTTCCTTGCCTAGTACGACGTGACTGCAGAGGGATTTGCTGCTGTTGCGAGCCGTCGAGGCGTCTGAGTGGGGGCTTCCCTGGGGATGAAGGCCCTCCGCAATGCCCTGTCCGTGACATCCCTGCTTCACAGAGTGGGATACCGATACCAGGTCCATTTTCCTGCTCACTGCGGGGAGAGCCCGCCCTCCTATTCTTCCCCCATTCAGCTAGGCCAAGCAATGAATGCAAGCTGCTCCCGCAGCAAAAGGCAACCCAGTTTGGAGACTTCTGCGCAGTCGAGGCATCCAATTTGTGCTGGGGGCTGTTCGGAAAAAATCTGGGCACGGGTGATGAGGGTGGCGACGATAATGCGCCTTGGCGGGGCCGACCACGCGCTCTTTTCAACTGAATGGGGGCAGGAAGCCGGGAGGGGAGCGGGAAGGGGGCGGGGGGCCTCCGGCCAGCAGGGCCGCACGTAGCCTTCCCTCGGGCGCCCTCGGCTCTGATTTGGTGCCTGCGCTCGGGGCCGGGCCTCGTGATTACCATACCGGGGTGTATAAAGGGAAGAGCTGCGGAGCGCTTCCGTCTCACCTCCTCACTGCACTGCGGAGCTGAGTTAGGTCAGGGAGCCCTTGGTAAGCAGCCACGGGGCGGGGGGGGGAGTAGGGGCAGGTGTGGGTCTCGGTCTCTTGGGGCCCAAGGGGCTGCGCAAGCTGGGGAGGCGGGAGGGAGGGAGGTTTACGGAGTTTCCAGGCGAAGTACAAAAGTTGCTGCAACTGCGCCCGTCCCGTCCCTCGCGCAGGAAGCAAAGCGGGGTGGGCGTGGATGCGGACGCGGAGAGGACCCTTGCAGCCCGTGGGCGCTCCCTGGGGAGACGGCCCCGCCGAGTGAGCGCGAGTGGGGCCGAATGGGAAGGGTGGAGGTCAGCGCCGGGGCGCTCCCGCCCGGCCGACCAGAGGGCGGCGGCTGCTTGAGCTGGGGCGGAAGAGCCCCGAGGTAGCAGCATTCCCGGGGCCGGCCTGCGCCGGGCAGGGCAGCCGCTTCTCTCGGGGGTGGAAGCAGCCGTGGGCCGGCAGCCTCTTCGTGAAGTGAGCGTACACGCCCTCCTCCGGACCGCAAAACTTTCCCTTCCAGTCTTCCGCCTTGCCTCCCGGGCATGGGCGGCCCTTTTCCACCGTAAGGAGACGGGGCGCCGGTGCAGGGCAGGGGGACGCGGCTGGGGACGGAGGAGAAGGGGTCCTATTAGCTTAGTGCGAGTGTGAAGCGTACTTGTTGCAACCCAGAGCCTGGCGGGAGGCTGTCGGGGGCACCCGGGAACGCTGGTGAGGCGCCCCCTTTAAAGTTCATCGGCGCGTTGACCAACCTGTGGCTTCTCTTTCTCCAGGAACACTTTTTCCAGAGACAAAGATGGTGAAGGTTGGAGTTAACGGGTGAGTGTGGAAGGGTGGACGTGCAGCGAGCCTGCCTGAGCATGGCAGGGGAGGGAGGGGCCTGGGAGGGGGGGCCGCGGCTGCTCGGAGAAGGAGGAGGCTGCCCCTTCCTCTGTCCCCTGGTAGCACTTGAGGAACTTTCCGGCCAATGGGAGCTCTTAGCGTCTGAATGGCTGTTGCTGTCTCCCTTCTAGCTTCTTGCAGCTCTTGGGGGCTGTGGGCGCGGGGAGGGGGGGAAGGAAGAGATAACCTAGCCCAGTATTCCTCCCAGCAAGGACGTCTGAAGGTCACTCTGGCCCATCTGTGGCTCCCTGCAGCTGTTTCTCTCACACAAGATCGGCTTGTATTCTTGTGGGTGCAGCTGCTCTCTCTCCAGAGCAGATTTTTGAGCCCCTTCTGATTTCTCTGCTGCGAGAAAGCACATGGAAGTGTGGGCCAGGATGTGCCCAGGCTTGAGAGGAGGAGGGCTGGTGACTCACTTCCCCCATCTTTGCTTGCTTGCTTGCTGAGTCACTCCCAGCAGGAAGCAGCGAGGGGTGCCTGCAGCTCTGTGGCCCTCTGCACCCCGCTTCTTGTATCCATCGCCTGCTCCTCCCTGTGCCCTAGAACAAATCAAAGCCTTTCTTGGATTTCACTGGAAGGATTGTGTGTCTGTCGAGCAGAGCAGCGAGGGCTCACAAAGAATGTGACCTTCTGCCCAGCCGCTAGGAGGCTGGAGGCTGTAACCAGATAACTGCCGCTTGAGCCGAGACAGAAAGTGAGAGCGAACTGTCTCTAAAGTTAGTGCCTGACCTTTTTGAGGCAGGATGGGGTGCAGAGAAGAAAAGTTGTAAGCGGTATTGCCCAGAAAGGGGACCAGTGCCCTTCTCAACCCAAGGGTTGCCGAAGAAAGTTTTAAGAAGCAGTTTCCATAAGAATTCATGTCCAGGGTCCCCAGATAAATGGCTGAAAGGCTACTTACGTATAAAATGCTTTGGGGCCTGTTGCTCCTCTCCAGCATCTCAGGTTGCAGGGCTTGAAAGGATAGTGAGGAGCTGCATGGTGTGAGCTGGGTGAGCATGCCTCAAGGCAGCTTCGTGTGATGACAAAACTTTTCTTTGTACAGGGGGTTTAACTCTTGCTGGATTTTAGCCTCAGAGCAGCCCTGAAAACAGACTGGCAAAAGACAGTAACTTTAAGACACTGCCCTTACTTAAAATGATCTTTGTAGCTTGAGTAGGACAACTCAAGTCCCCCTGGCCTACATACAGATGCCTGTACTGAGTTGTTCTCAGTTCCAACTATTTTGGAGGGTTAAAATTAAAATTTTAAGAGCTTAAAAGGAGAGTGACTGGAAAGGTTACTGTGGAGCAAGAAAATGTTGTTCACTTTCATGGAAGGATTCCCTTTGTCTCAAACACAAAGGCTTCACCTTGTTACCCAAGAAAGATGGTCAGGGTATCCCAGGCTAGGCTGTTGTAGGACTCTGCAAGATTTGCAACTCTGAGCACAGATGAGATGCTATTTATGGCTGCAGTAACCTGCCCAAGCCCTGAGCACAGCTAGAAAGTGGGGGGGGGGAGGCCCTTTTCTGTGATCTTCTCCCAGAGCTCATATCAGCCACCAGAATCTGGTGGTTCTAAGAGGGCAGCCTTTAGGTGAGGCAAGATGGAGTTTTTGCTTCAAGTGCAAGATTTTGGGCACTTCTAACAGTGGCATGTGAGTGGCACAGGTGCAACATGTAGAACACAGTCCTTTGGGGGAGGACTTGGCTGCAAGCTGCATTTCAGAATAATGAGTTCTGCATTGCACCATTGTGCCCAGTGCTAACTTAATTACTGGGGGGGGGGGAGACAGAGATCTTGGTGCCTGAAGCAGGCAGTTTGCTGATAGCACAATTGCTTTGCCCAGACTGGAGTCAGACCCTCTGGGCTATGCTTGGCTTTGCCATCTGATTGCAAGATAATAGTGGTTTGATTGCAAGCAGCCTTGTGACATACCTGATCCTGGATAATGCCTCAAAGTATTCTGCTGACTCCTACCTACAGAGCAGTGAAAACGAGGATGATTGTGAATCCATTCTGAGGACGATGACACTGTTGTCTTTATTTCTCTAGATTTGGCCGTATTGGCCGTCTGGTCACCAGAGCTGCCTTCACCTCTGGAAAAGTTGAGATTGTGGCGATCAATGACCCCTTCATTGATCTGAACTACATGGTGAGAACACAGAAAGACCCTGACTTTCGGCAGGCCTGAAATTCCCTGCTACTTAGTGCAAGATTGAATGCCTTGCAAGCTTCCTTATGTCATTAAATTAAACCTCCAGTATTTTCCAGAAATATGGTACTATGTCAATAAGGCAAGTCTGCATGCCGAGCTGGGTGTGGCAGGGCAAAGAGTAAAGGGCCCTTCATTGGTGACAGCAGAGACTGAGCCAATGCATATGGCCAAAATCATGCAATCCCTGTATAAACGAAATGCCATTTGAAAACAAGAAGTAGACTCTAATGGCTCACAAGCATCTGCAGAGACCCAATTATATGCAGTATATTTACATGCTACTAATAACGGAGTATGAAATCCTCATACAAGATCCCAATAAAGCAAATATTATAGATTATGGAACTGGTTAAAATGTCAGTTTCAGTTATGTCTTTAATTAGGTCTCTGCTATCCACACGGTAGGTTAATATTTGTTCACCATCCAAATTTCTTCATAAATGCATGTCCAGGATTGTCTGGAGAAAATACTATGTGAAGCAATACATGGAAAACCTTCAGCACTTTCTGTGGACACAGCTGTAGTTTTATTTCTGTACTGTCCCCTCATAGCTGAAGCTCTCTAGGCAGTTCACAGCAGCATGTGCGTTACAGTAAAAGTGTGATATACAGAAAACATGTAAAGTTATTAAAATACACTGCAAATTTTAAAATCTAGACTCACTACTTAATTCAAACAGCTGTCATAGCTGCCTTCTGTTCTACTTTGTATTAGCTAACGGAATGCCCCCAATAAACAATTTAGAGTTGATTACATGCCCAGTCATAGGGAGCACTCTTTCCTGGCACTGGATAAATGGAGTTGTATGTGTGAGCTGCTTGGAAAGAAGAAAAATGTGTTTTGGAGAAGGCTCAAGAGGACTTAAATGGGATTCTGGTGAGAAGGAGCAGAATTAATGTTGCATCTCAATTTCAGGTCTACATGTTTAAATATGACTCCACTCATGGCCGTTTCCATGGCACTGTGAAAGCCGAGAATGGGAAACTCGTGATTAATGGACATGCCATCACAATCTTCCAAGAGTGAGTAATGCTCAGTCCACGCTGCCTTCCCCTGCTGGGCAGAGGATGGCCCCATCGATTGTAAACGGCCCCTCTCTTTTCTTTTGGCAGGCGCGACCCCGCCAACATTAAGTGGGGTGATGCTGGTGCACAGTACGTTGTGGAGTCCACCGGTGTCTTCACCACCACCGAGAAAGCCAGTGTAAGTGGAGGCTGTGGGCATTTCCTGATGTGGAGGGGAAGCTAAAGGGGCACCTAGATCAAATGGAAAGTAGTTAAATCAGTCTTCAGCGTGCACTATAACAGCCTGGTGAAGTGGTGTGAGTCTAATGATGCCTACACTTGTATGAGGGGGACTTGGTTCAAGATGTTTCAAGTAAACATCTCTCGGGGGCCCACTTCATGTCTTCCCATGGTGGCACAATGCTTTTCCTGTTTGCCCAGTGGGGAAGAGACTCAGTGGAAACAATGATCAGGTCTGACAGCTTCCAAACATCACTGTCGCTGTTCAGGACAAATTAATAGCACTGTGGCTTCCACGCTGCCACAGTAACCTTTGAATGGGCTCTTTAAGTGGCAGGGTTCTTCTGGGCAGCCCCTGCCCTGGTTGGCTTTGCGTCTGTAATGAACACATTCTCCGTAAACTTTGAAGAATGCTAAAGCAAGTTGCTTTCTTCCTCCTTCCAGGCTCACTTGAAGGGTGGTGCGAAGCGTGTTGTAATTTCTGCCCCCTCAGCTGATGCTCCCATGTTTGTGATGGGGGTCAATCATCAGAAATATGACAACTCCCTCAAAATTGTCAGGTAAGCATGCAAGAGCGACGGTGGTGGCTGCAGCTAGACCAGAGTGCTGCTCTCACTGAAATGGGACCGGGGAGCCTTCTAGAAGGGGTGAAGGCAGTGTGCCAACCCATCCCATCCCTCTCATTTCTTTGCAGCAATGCTTCTTGCACCACCAACTGCCTGGCTCCCCTGGCCAAGGTCATCCATGACAACTATGGCATCGTAGAAGGCCTTATGGTAGGTGAATTGCGTGCTCCTGACTGTCCCGGTTTCTTGTTCACTCGCACCCTTGGCTCTCCTGTCAAGACCCTGGTGCAGCACTGGCATTAGAGATGGGAGACCTGGCCCCCTTTTCCAGGGAGTAGCACCAAGCCCCCTGCTTGGAACTCCACAAGTAGCATACAGTGCTTGCAATGTTCTGTCCTATCGGTCATCAAGAAGAAACACCTAAATAACCAGATTCATATTCCTGTCGTGGCTGTCCTGCGAGGATTCTTTGACCCCTTCAGTCTCCTCGACACAGTAAATTTTGGGTGCAGTGCTGATTATTATGTGCAGCTGGGCAGGGCCGTCCTTTTTCTCGACACATTGCGTTCAAAGTTTGGCCATAAAGGTGAGAGGCGGGTTAGAAGGAGGTGATGGAGATAGCAGCTCCCAGAACATGGCCTCAGTGCTCCTGTTCTTTCTGCTCCAGACCACAGTCCATGCCATCACAGCCACGCAGAAGACTGTGGATGGACCTTCTGGCAAGCTGTGGAGAGATGGCCGAGGAGCTGCTCAGAACATCATCCCGGCATCCACAGGTGCAGCTAAGGCTGTCGGCAAGGTCATTCCTGAGCTAAATGGGTAAGTCTTCATGACGATGGGAGACGGAAGGGGCTGTCAGAGGAGGAGGATGTGTGCCCTAACCGAAGTGTCCCATTCCCACAGAAAACTCACAGGAATGGCTTTCCGTGTCCCAACTCCAAATGTTTCTGTTGTGGATTTAACATGCCGCCTGGAGAAACCAGTGAGTATCTTGGGGTACCTTTTCTTCTGGGTCTCTAGTGTGGAACACTGTAGGTCTGAGCAGTACCTGCCAGTGCAGAATCGCCCCACTCAGAAGTAGGTCTCAGGTTTGTGCACTCTGCCAGGTAACCTCCATACATCTTTATCTGTAGGACTGATTCCCACTCATTTCCAGCTCTAATGTCCTCTGTCCTGCAGACTGCAGGAATTGTTTGCATCTGCCCAATGCTGGCTTCGTGTGGCTTTCTGCAATAGTAAAACGAATTGACTCCAGGCCCTTTCAGCAGAGTAGCTTGGGAAATGGGGAGGAGAGCTATGTCTCTTGGCTGCTGTTACTGTGCCAAGCCTCTGCTCTGGCATGTGACTTGGGCTGTACGAAGGGACTTTTAACATAAGTTGATACATAGGCAGACACAAATGCAGACATTGGACTCACTTGGTTCTCTTCTTCACAGGCCAAATATGATGACATTAAGAAGGTTGTGAAGGCTGCTTCTGAGGGCCCCATGAAGGGTATCCTGGGTTACACAGAGGACCAGGTATGCTGGATTTTTTACAATTTCTGTTCTGACCATTTCAAAGGTCCTGCCAAGTGTTGTGTGCATGCCTGAATGTAGCCCCGTGATAACACTTTCCTTTGTACCTCACCTGTGCCTGGCCACGGGTGAATGTGTGGGGGTGTTCAAGGTGGAGGTCAGGATGCTCAGCCTCAGTATGCATTGTAAGTGCTGCTTCTGCTCTTCCCAAAGGTTGTTTCCTGTGACTTCAATGGTGATAGCCACTCTTCCATCTTTGATGCAGCTGCTGGCATTGCTCTCAATGATCACTTCGTCAAGCTGGTCTCCTGGTAAGAGATTTAGGCTGGTTGATTTGTCTGGAGAAATGGGGGAAATCCTAGCATTTGAATAATTCAGAATTTGAATATTTCTGGTCATCCAGCAACGAATGGCTAGTTGGCTTGGGAGATGAAATAGCACTTGAGTAATAAGAGAGTTTCTTTCTGTTTTCCCTTCCAATACTATCTTCTGATAGGAAATAGGGAGAGCAACATTTTTCCCCTGGTTTCTTTTCCAGGTATGACAATGAGTTTGGCTACAGCAACCGTGTGGTAGACTTGTTGGCTCACATGGCATCTAAGGAGTAAAGACAGAACACCATTTTTTCATACAACTTGGCTCTGTATCTTGCAGTTAGAGGCTCCCTTGTTCCATCAGCCTCTGAGGAAGTGGAGAGGCCGGAAGAAACTTTGACGTTTCAGTAACATCTCCCCTCTCAATAAAAGTCATCACTGTCTCAGATATTCTGGTCTCTCTCTTGTTTGGGGGAAAGGGGGACTGTTGAGGGAGAAGGCCGGTTTCTACACACACAGCTTCCATGCTGCCACTTGTGGCAGTGCTCAGTGACTGCTTGCTGCTGCTCTGGAAGACCTCCAGGCAAGTACATTGCTGAGGCGGGATGCTGCACTGCCTCTTGCTCCTTGCGCTTCTCCCAGCCTGGGGATTCTTTCAGCGGTATGGATTGGTGGAAAGGATCTGTCTAGACCAAGTGATTAAAAAGCAGTTCTTGGTTGCAGTTTTATTGGGAAATAACCTGAACTTGTCTGTAAAGAACACAGTCATACCTGGGACAAGGTGGAGACTGATGCAATAGTGTGGAAACCTGGCCAAGAGCACCTCTGGCTAGGGGCACTGCTCCTGTAATGCTCTCTATGAAGCAAGCAGTCACTGGACAACCTGGCTGTGTGTTCACAAATACCTGAACTATTAGATCACTTGAGAGCAGGCATTGTGCTCTCACAGCCTTCACGTGTCCTCAGTAGAAGGGGTTGTCTTTGTTGCCTTGGTGGAGTTTAGCCTCATCCCTACTGGGACTGAAGTTTATGGTGCAAGGTGTGCAGGGTGTTCCTGCTGTGTCAAGTTGTCTGTGACTTAAGCCAGTCCTATGAATGAGCACTCCAAAGTGCTCTCTCCTTGGCAACCTTGCTCAGCTCTTGCAAACTCAAGGCTGGTTTCCTTTATGGCATTGATCCATCTCCTATCTTCCCCTTCTGTCTGCATCTTTCCCTATCTGCTCGCTCACTGTGCCCAAAGTGTGGCAGCTTCAGCTTTCCTGTTGCTTCTAGGAAAAGTTCTGCCTTGATTTTAATTGGGACTCCCTCACTCTGGACCGACATTTTGGAAGCAATCCAACTTATTTTGAAAGCATCTTCTTTAAGCCCAGTTTTCAGAGCCGTATGCAGTAATCCAGGAGATAGTTCTGTGGACGATCTTGGTACATCTCCAATACCAAACTGAAAGCCAGAATATCTTGTCTTTTATTTTTTATTTATTATTTATTAAAACATTTCTATGACGCCCCATTCGCTGAAGCCTTGGGGTGGCTCACAACATGAAGTAAAATACAAAAATAACAATATAAAGTAAATAACAATATAAAATATTTTTTAATAAGATGCTGGCAGTTACCATGAAGCTTTTCCTACAAAAGATGAATAGCCAGTTTTTGAGTTTCATTCTAAAGAGTAGCCCCACAGCCCAGCCTTTGACTCCAAGCAGCAGCTGCACTTCCTATGCCTTTCAAATGGAGCACTCAGCTCTTTGTTCTTGGGTGACAGCTGTGGGGTGTAGGGTTAAATCCCCCACGGCCACTGCCATCCCCTCTGTGAATAGGCAGCATTCTACTCCATCTCCTGCTAAAAATGGAGTGAGTGACAGCATCTTACCTGTGTATTTGGTACACAAGCTCTGCACCCTAGCTGGGCTATGCCTCCCGGAGCTATGTCCACAGTTGCTTAAGAACACCTGCTTGATCATATCCATGGGGTACCACTAACAGGTGCAGAAGGAGACGCCTGTCTGACCTAGCAGGGAAACTGCCTTCTGGAGCTTCTCCACGTTTTTTGCTCTTGGCCACTAAACTCTGGGGATAAACAAGACTACTCTGGGGAAGCTGGACTCCCTGACATGACAAAACTCCTTTTTCGATACAGGACCAGCTTCTTGCTGCTCACTGTAAAAACAATGGTATGGATAAGAATTGCTCTTTATATTCTTTCTTTGCTGACCCCACCCACCCTGGTTCTCTTGACTGTCACTACAGGAGTAGATTATGAGCAGTGTTAAGCTGTGCTTTATTAATACGCAGGTAGTAAATTTGATGTGACATTAACATCACTGCAGTTCTAGCATGCAACATTTTTCTGCAGTGGAACATAGTAAGCTGCAGATATAGGGAACGCTTTGAGAAGGGTCAGTAGAATCCTCCCAAGTTATTTGCAAGATTTCTATTTTAAGCATTCATATTGTTAAAGTTGGAATAAAAGCTGCAAAAATGCAGACCCTAAAGGCCGAAGGGCTTCACAGAATTCTCCTAATGGTCAGCTCAGAAAACTATGGATGCATTTTCAAAGTCAATCTAACGTGGAACAGGATTTGCTCTTTGTTCCTTGAAATCAGTGAAAAGAAAAGTTTAAGAATGGTTTCCACTCCTTTGGAGAACGTCTGTCTATAAACTCGGACTAGCTTGGGATGCCATGTTGCCCCCAGCCTGCGCGGGGCGCTGCAGCCACACCCACTTACCAGGGTACGAGGCTACTGCTAAATCCCTGAGCAAGCCGCAACTGTCCAAACATGCCCGTGCTGTCGGCGGCCATTAGGTGGCTCCGGAGCGACACCGTTTTGTTCTGAGAGGCCTTGGCAAGTTCAGGCCTTCCTGTAACATTCCTGAGCTTTTTTGCCTCTGGCAAAATAAATATTTTTACAGGCCTAGTTTTTTCTCAAAACTTCCCACCAAGTCTGCCGCTTGAGACATCACAATGGAATTCTGTCACAGCGATGCATTTTTAGGGCTAGAGAGCCTGAAGGAGTTTGGTGCCAGAAGTGTCAGGCTCAGCTGTTGCCTCCTGAGAACAACCCTCTTGGCTGCAGTGCTCCCCAGATTTTGATGACTGAGGGGTGCACCTCTCAAGCTTGGTTAAGGATGGAAGGGCTTCAGCTGTACATAGGTTTACTTCTAGGATGGGAAAGAATTTAGCCCACGGGTCTGGGGGAGCTCCAAAGCAAAAAGCAGATGTACTTGCTCCTCAAAACAGATAATGTTTTTAGCTTCAAAATTAAGGCAAAATGAGCATTCTCTCCAGCAGAGAATGGTAGGGACTTCAAGGAACTAAAACCATGTTTCTGTAAATGCTTATTTTAACAATCTTAAATTAACCTGTTAGACGTGGGATCTGACTTAGGTGGTTTAACCTCAGAGATGGAGCAGCAAGGGTGACAATTAGCTGGACTTTTATAACATTTTGCTCTGTTTTTAGAAAACAGCTCAGTAAAAAAGGTTATAAGCCAGGTCACAAAATGGTGGTGTGCGGGTGTACTCGCTCACTCTCTCTCCCCCCCTCCTCTGTGTGTGTGTGTGAGAGAGAGAGGGAGAGAGGAGAGAGAGAGAGAATGAATAATGGTCCTTTCTGGCTTTGGTGATGACACAAGCAATTTTTTTCCAGCACTTGTGATATTTGTATAACCACATTCCACCAGCACTGGCAGTGGACTTCCTATGCTACCCAGGGGAAAAATGAATTTTTCCATTAACAACAAAAATCTCTGTTACGTAAGTGTGGTTTATGCACCAAGAGTAAGCAAATCACTGCATTTCAGTTTCTGTAAAGCATACAATTGTTTTAAGTTATTAAAAGAACTTCATGGAAAACATTGCTGGCTCAGCCTGAACACCAGTGCAAGGAAGGACAGAATTCCTGCAGACCAGCCTCTTCCAGGACAGTCTCATCCAGGCAACCAGGGTGCAGCAGCGGTCCTGAACTCGTAGTTTTGTCTGGAGGCTTGGCTTAAAGAGACCACCAGTCTGTCCAAAAGGAAGGTTTGCCAGGTCACTCGAAGGGAAAGACGTTTTCTCCATTGTTATAATTCAGATTAATCAAGCGATTGAAAAGCAGACTGAGTTTTACATGATTGAATGGTTCGATATAAGTCTGTTCATCAGACATGTAAAGTTTGCAGCAAGTGCTCTTACGGATACCACTCATAGGAGGAGCCGAGTTGAAAAGCTCAGCAAACTGACAAAAAAGTTATTTTCAACCATGTAGTTATGGAACTTTGCCAACATGTCCTCTAACCACTAGGCTATTCTATCCAATTTAAATTTTATTGCATTCTTTCCATGAGTCCCAACATTCAGGAGTGTTGGAATCAGGTATTCCATAACAACTAGGAGTGAAGGCCTCTCTATGTGATACACCATCTCAAATCAATCTGTAAAACAAAAGCTACCCCACTTTTCCCCATGTTGCCTCTGAGCCACACAAGGACCTTTCATTGCGGGCTCCGTTGGCCACTTAACGCAGTTTTGTTGAAGTGGCCCCTTTTACGCCCGTGTAGCTCGTGCTGAAGAAACTGCTGCCTTGACATTTCAGTTTGTGCTTGACCTTGATTTTGCATAGTTCAACCGCATTTTTTTGTAATTGTGTTAGTTGCTGTATATCACAAGAGTGGGAGAAACAAAAGTTGTCGTGGGATGATAAATGGAGAAAGTTGTTAGGGCAGGGCAGGGAATTCCTGGATGCGACAGTGGAGGGAGAACTTCCCCCCATGCATACACTTCTTACCGTTGTTACATTTCTGCACTTCCCATCGCCAAAGCTCTCTGGGCAGTTCACAACATTTAAGTCATCCATCCAGATTTCAGCCAGGCCTGACCCTGCTTAAGCTTCCAAGATGGGGCAGGATCAGGCACTTCAGACAATGCTGTGGACCTTCATTTAGCGAATAGCCCCTATCAATAATTAGGTGCTTAGCTACTGAAAGCTTTAGCGGACCTGTGCTTTTCAGTCAGCACCCGCGTACAGGGTTCAGACAACACAAGTCATGGTGGATTTTTTACCATTTTTAGTCTGTCGTACTGTCTGTCTTGGTAACAAAACTGTGCACCATGGCAACTGGGCAGGTTGCTTATCATGTTGTGTGAAAACATGAGTTTCCAGTGAGTTTCTGAGTGTCAGTGAGTTTCTGAGGGAGAGAATGTTATGAGGTAGATTCCCTAAGCACAGAACATGGGGGTGAATAATTAGGTGGCCCCTGAAAACTGGGCCACTGGACTGCTCAGGACAGCAGGAGACGTGTACGGAGAGCTGCTTGTCAGGGGCTCCCACCATGAGGTGCGCTTCAGAAAAAGCATCTCACGCAGACAACAGTGGTACAAAAGCACGTTCTCCATTTAATACTCTTAGTTACAGACAGAGCACATCACATACGACGTTTGTGCCAAAGAGTGCACAACTAAGCAAAATGCAAGGACGGGGCTGAGGTGAGGGAGACTGTGGCTCATTCTTCATCCCCGCAAGGAGAGGCTCTCACTACGGTTTTCAAGGTGGCCCGGAGGGTACAGAAGTTTACAGGCAGAACGGTGGCATCCCGCCTACAGCCCAGTTGGCACCAAGGGAAAGTTCGGGTTTGCAGACATAAACTGATCCAGTTCTGCTTATGTGTAGCATGAGGAAGAGTCACATATGCTAGGAGGCGACGAGAAAGACGGTGCTTCGTAAGGCAAACCCGGGGCGGAGCAGCTACAATAAGGTGGGAGCCTCCCCACCAAAGCCCACCGACGTACCAGGGGAGGGAAGGGACGGGGAGCGAGGGCAGGGAAAGGAGGTGGTCAGAGGGGGAAAGAGGCGGGAAGCCAGGTCCCCAGGGGCAACTGTACCGCGCTTTGCCTCCACGGGTGGAGAGGCCAAGGGGCAGACTGCTAACGGTGGCACTTTGCCCCCGCCGCCCCGCACGGCCCCAGCTAGAAGCGGGCTCCCCCCACAGGCCAGGAGAGGGAGGTGCAGAGGGGGAGAGCCTCCCCCATTATCTTATGGAGGCGTCACTTGGGAGGTCATGATCGGACTCCTCCGTCTCCTCGTTTGGGGCCGAGTCACTGTTCGGTACTGGAGTGAAAGCAGGAGACTTTCTGAAAGAAAAAAAGGGCGGGGGTCACACGGGCACTGGGGCTGAGGGAAGGGGAGGCAGATCTGGGGGGCAAATGCGAGGCCGGCGGGGCGGAGAAGCGGCAGGACCCGGTGTTCAAAGCAGGGCATTGCGATCTGGCGGGGTGACTTGGCGGCTATGCTGGGCCCTGTGGGAGGGATTCTGAGGAGGGCAAGGAGACTTCCGTGGGGCCTTGCCATGCCCAGGGTTGCAGGCGCAAGAGGAGGGGGCAGGCAGGTATCCCCCCCAGCACAGCGCTCCTCTGCATTCAGTGTCCCATAAGCTAGTGAAAAAGCCCAGCAGGTCAGCGATGCTTCTTTTGTCCGGCAGAAGTTGTCTTTCGACAGCGGTTGCATCTGTCAAAACTGCAACACCTTCTAGACACACATGGCACGAAACACAACTCCTGCAAGTCTGCAAGGGGGGGTTACAACCAATCACTCAGAATCCAGCCCAACTTTGTCACCCCTCCCCAGTAAGGCACACACTCCCCTCCCCTCCCCTCCCAACAGCCCTGGTTAACAGCCTGCATCTCTCACCCCGAGATCCTGCTGGCCTTCCCGGTGCAAGCAAGAGGACCCAAACAGACCGAAGCCGCCCTGCCTCCCCCGAGCCAGGCTGGGAACCCAGCAAGCCCCCTACAACCGCGCTCACCTGTCCCCAGACTGGGTGATGAGCCGGCGACAGGTCTCCATCTGCACGTCCAGCCCACGCTTCATGCTGCACATCTCCATGTACTCGTGAAGGTGCCGGTTCATGTCATTCTTGGCTGTCGCAAGCTCCAGCTGCGCGAGAGGGGAGCAGGGAGGGGCCCTCGTTAGCCGTGCCACCCACTGCGAGGCCGCCTCGAGCAACCTTGCTGCCCGAAGCCAATCTCCCGCTTGCCCCCGCCTGGCGCGTCACTGCTTGTGGAGCGCCTGGGGCTGCCTGCGGGGTTTGCAACCCTCCCTGCCGCCTGCCACACACAGGAGCCAGCTGCTGAAGCTCCGGCGTGACTGAGAGACAGACGCAGGTTAGGGCCACGGAAATCAGTGGGCCTGAGGGATTCCACATGGCTGGCGGGTCCAGCACTGTCTCTCACAGCAGCAAAAGGCTACAGGCCATTCCCAGGGGTGGGGTGGGAGGGAGAAAGCACTGTGTTGTGGGACTAAACTTGCTGTCCCTCTGGAAAAGTCAGGAAAGGGCTTCTTTCGGATAGCTTTCACTGCTCCCTTGGATTCCCAGGGGTTTCCCCCAAACACCCCCCGCCCAACTATTTTCTAGCTTTGGTGATACAGAGACAGGAACATATAACCTGCCTGGCCGTGGGGATCACCTTGGGTATGGCCAGCAGGCCTGGGGTTGCATCTGAGCACGCCTACGAACACCCACACACAAGACTGCTAGAGCTGACGGGAGGCCAGGCCTGACCGTGAGTGGCACAAAAGCAGCGAGAGGAGAGGAGAGAGAAATGAAGCCACAATGCAGGTCGCACACGACTGCCTTAAAAGGATCCCGCAAAGCCCAAATATTGATTTGAGCAAGCTGATATCCTGCAGTTTGCAAACTTTGACCCTGCTTCCAAACCAATTTTTCCAGGCCCCTGAAAATGCTACCAGAAGATTAGCAGATCCTGCAGAACAGGGTGAGCTCTGGTGTGAGAGATGAAGGGATCTCCCCAAATCAGGCAGAAGCAGGACAGGGTCCTTTCCCACTATAGCAGGCAGACCCTGGACCCAACCGTGAATATTCTATTGTTGGACAGGTTTCTGTGTCTTCTGTTCCTACCTCTATTTGGTCAATGGTTTCTTGATATTCCTTTTCTCTGCTTTTGAAAAGTGACTCCGTGTCCTTGATCACTTTCTCCAAGCTATCATCCGGCTGCTGGCAAGGGAAATGCAGTGCCCCAGGAGGAAAGAAAACAGGTGTCATCCATCAGAAAACAGAAGTTACCACACTGAGGCAAGAGAGAGGTGATTAGAGCACATCCTACGCCGAGAGCTCATGCAAGCAAGGAGGTGGAGGCCGGGCTGCAAGTCAGGAAGGTTGCAGCTGGGATCTTCCTGCACGCCGTGGTCTCACTGGATGACTTCAGACAAGCCACACTCTTGGATTTAGTTGCCACTCAGCTACACTAGCCTCTTACCCTTGCAGCGGCCTGTGACTGAAGTTAGGCCAAGAGTGAGAGCAGCTGCGCCAAGATCACAGGTGGATGAGGACTGGCCTCAGATCTCGCTTGGCCATCCTCACTACTCTAGCCATGACTAGGACAGACGCTCTGTGACTCCACGCAAGCACATAAAAGCCAATGGAATTTGTACTGGCTGTGACAGTTCCGCACATGGAGAATTTCATCTTGAAAGCCAAATTTGGAGCCCTGACCACAGCCTATTCAGGTGTTGAAGCTTTTGATCCATCAGACTTAACATAATACAGGTGGATCAATATGCAATTCGTTTTGTTTTTTTTCTTTTTCTTGCATCTCTGCCTGGAAAAACCTCCCTGGTACTATGTGCAGAGGAGGAGGATATCCAGGAGTTTTTGCATGAAAGGAGCATTACATTTTTTACAAAGCACCAGAACTGCCTCAGCAGTTGTGAGATTCAGGAATGTGTATGCTGGCTGAACCCACAAGGGGAGATGAGCGAGAGGCAGGGAAGGCACTTCAGGCAGAATCTGTGGATCGCTGCATGGCCAAGAGCAGCATGTTTCACCAGGGGCGGCTGGCTGGCAGAGGGGGCAGGGGACGAGAGGACACATGCCAGTACGAGCTCCTGCTGTCATAGCATAAGCAGCCTGGAAGCAGGACGTGGGGATGCTTTCGTTTCCAAAATGGCTTACCTTGCTGTATATTCCCTAAAGCACTCTGGTCTGGGGCTGGCAGCCCTCTAACAAGACGAGACGAGGCGAGGCAAGGCAAGGCGAGGCGAGACAAGGCAGGGGCAAGCGGGAAAACAACCTCTGGAACCTCTTCCCTCCGCATGGCCCAAGGAGCCCCATGAGGCACAACCGGCCGGCCAGAAGCAGACAGGCACACGCCCCTCGGCAGGCAGCGTTCTCCTTCAGGCCCCACTTGTTCCACTGCAAAACCTTCCCCCTGCTGGCGCCATCCAGACATTTGGGACTGCAACCCCAGCATCCCTGTCTTTTGTCCCCACTGGCAGGGTTGATGGGAGCTGAAGTCCAAAATGGCAGCCCTACAATGCCCAGTACAGCTCCGATCCCCTCATCCGTCATGTCACGACCTCAGGCAGGCTGCACTCTGTTCAACCAGGAGCGCAGGAACACGGCAGCTGCTCCCCGGGACAGCACGTGCTGCCTGCGCGGGGCGGCTCCGGCTTTGTCGCACCGCAGCTGTGCAGGCCGGCTTTGAGGGGTGGCGCGCAGTCCCTCCTGCCAGGCAATGGCCAGCGGCCTGCAAGCCAGGCTCAGTGCTCTTGCCAGGACTGATTCTACCGCGAAAGGGCCTCCATGAATTCTCGGCTCAGACTTTCGACTGATCCGTTTTGCTTCTTCTGAGCACACTGGATGTGTGACCCCGAACGCCTCCCTTACATGTGCAGGCTCAAAAGGTATCCAAGGGCAGAAGAGCCCCGCAAAAGAAGAGGGGAGGTGGCCGTGGGCATGCGGCACATGAAGAGGCCCCTTTCCATTACCTCGCCCTGGGCCTCGGCTGCAGCGATGGCGTAGCCAGAGAAATCCTCCCACAGCAGCAGCGTTTCTTCTGTCTCCTCCCAGGTGAGGCTGTCGCAGTCGTCTTCAAAATCGTACTCCCTCCTGTGGGCAAGGGTGTCATTTATCAGCAGAGGGAAGCTGGAAGGGCTGCCCTTGCAAGCAAATGGGCCAGGTGCCGAGTGTCCGTCCCCGTGTCCTGCTGGGACACAGCAGGCCCAAGATTCAGGGACACCGGCTTTTGCATTCCTGGGGCCGGGACCAAGGGGCCTCTCCCAGAGGCAGGCCGGCAAGTAGGCAGCCAGCCTACATACAAACGTTGGCTTCGCCTAAGTAGTAAGCCCACACCGCAATAAGGGTAAATGAACAGATGAGCAGGATTCCAGAGAGGTCCCCTCATTTGGCGAACCGGAGACTCTTTTGCTTTTCTAGAACACACACGAAACAACCCTGCAATGCTGTACAGAGACTCACAGGATTCTTTGATTTACAAAACCAAGGCAAGCGAAAGCCGAGCGTGAAATTTATTCCAGTTTTGTTTGAGCCACTGAAGAGCAGGCCGTGCTCCTCTGAGGAGGCAGCTGGACTGGCAGTGGCCCCACAAGCAGCTGATCTCTCCCTCTGCCACGAAGCAGGCCCCACTCACAACTGGTTCAGCATCCTCTGCATCTCTTCGTTGATGCTCATGGCTGTGGTCTCATCCTCCTCCTCCTCTTCCAGTTTTTTGGAGGTCTCACTCTCAGACTGGGAGGTATCCTCATCACTGACCAGCTTTCGCTCCCGCTTCCGCCCCACAGTAGCTGGGACCTTAATGGGAGACAAGTGCAGAGACTACAGAACGAGGTCGGGTTGGAGGTCAGAAGTAGGCAGATGAGAAGGGAGGGAAAATGGGATGGAGTAGGATGGCATGGAAAGACAGAGAGACAGAGAGAGAAGGGGGGAGGAAAGAAGGAAGGGGGGGAGAGAGAGAGAGAGAAAGAGAGAGAGACAGAGAGAAAAAGAGAGAGAGGGAGGGAGGGAGAGAGACGGGCTTATTATGACCAGGTTAAAGATGGTGCGATGGCTAAAATGCAATTTTAGAAATCTCTATTTTTAAATTAAAAACTAAGCAGCTGAGGATGGATTCAGATGAAGGTTCACAGTAAGGGAACTCAAATCACACACCAGAGATGGAGGTGGGAAGACAGAGCAAGACAGAAGAATTACGGAGAGGGAGAAAAATGCCAGGATTTACAGTTACGTTGTATTTTACAGAGAAGCTTCTAACTTGCATATTTTTCCAGCTCAATGAAAAAAAACTAACCAACTGCTTCTATAGGGGAAGCCAGAGAAAAGAGTGAGAGCGAGTGCGAGAGAGCGAGTAAGTGAATAAGACAGAGAGAGAGGGAGAGAGAAGGGGGTGGGGAGGAGAGCAGAGAGACGGTGTTAGAGACACAGCCACGCTTCGCACCAGGTCTCCCTCTCCAGCAGCTGCTCCCCCAGCAGGGCCCACCGGCCTCCGGCTGAAGAGATGCTGTGGGGCTGGCTCGCCACTGCCTCACGGGGGCCTCGCGGAGGCCGCCCTCAAACTCAGACCGCTGGCCGGTTTCTCCCATGTGACAGAGGTGGATTCATGGCATGAGGTTGGAGCAACAGGATCGATTTTGCTTGGAATGGGCGTGTTTGGATTCCTCCCAGCACATGGAAAGGGCATCTGGTGGTTCTCACCTGAAACATTTTGATCATGTCCTCACAGTTGCGCTGCTGGGCCACGTCGCACAGTTTGGCGGTGATATCTATGCGCCGACAGATGTCCATGTCCACTTTCATGGCCTTCTCTTGGATCTTGGTATCCAACTCAGTAAGGTTCTGGCCCAGCGGAAAGGAAAGGAAGAGAGGGAAATCTGAGAAGGCCTCCAGCCAAATCACGCTACTCCGAGATCTCCTGGGGCTGGAGGCATTCCGGGCTGGACACCGCATTTTAAAGGCAGGCACTAGATTAACCTCCAGCTCCGAAGCCAGACCACAGGGGGCTCACTGCCACCTGCCCGGCCCTGAAGGAAGTCGGCAGGTGTGCGCATGCATGCGGCGAGAACAGCGCCTACACTCACATTGCTCATCAGCCCCTTGAAAACCACCAGCTCTGCTTTGAGCTGCTCCACCTTCATCGCCAGCTCCTCTTGACAGGCTTCTGCCTCTTGGGCCTCCTAGTTGGGAGTCAGACATTCAAGTCAGCGCCAGAGGAGGTGCTGGAGCAAGTGCAGGGGGCAGAGGGGACGGGAGGGGCCTCACCTCGTGCAGCTCGCTCACTCGGTCTTGCAGCTGCACACGCAGCGTGTACTCCTCTTCCCACCTGGCAAGACAACGAGAGCAAGGGCGTAGCATGAAATGCATGGAACTGGGACTTGGGGGGATCCCTCCTTCTGGCTGGGCACCAACAGCTTTAGTGGGACCCCTGCTGTCCAAGAGGCATGGGTGGGGAAGCGGCCCCCCACCCCCCCCCACCCCGGCATGGGTCTTGTTGCAACAACAGCTGGGGACCGGACGGGACGCTGTGCCACACAGGCACTGAAGTCACAGCCTTCTTTTCACATGCAAAGCGCTTCTTCGCATTTGACCAGGAAGAGTAACCACAGACTATGTTTAGCGACTGCCGCATGCTCCCTGCCCCAGAACAAACCGCTCTGACAAGCGACTGCTGCTCTCCACCCTGGTATGCTGGCCAAGGGGTATGTCTAAGCCCATCCGTTCTGGGGCAGCCCGAGCTGGCATTCCCTCTGGGCGAGCATTTGACCATGGCCAGAGAGCTCCTCAAACTCTGCTCAGCTGCTCTCCTCCTCTCCAGAGACCACTAAAGCCGCGAGAACGGCCTTTGCCACTGTTCTCGTCCAAGCCACTCCTCCAACCTGCCTGCTGTGGTGTGTACTATCATGGCGTGGCATGGACAGAGGGCACCGCAGCGCAGCCAGAAGCAGCTCAACAAAGGGATGCAGGGCTGGCTTAGATCCTATTAGGGAAAAAACCTTTGCAAGTGCTAAGTCAGGCATAGGTTTCAAAAAATTTACATTCCCGTCATGGAAGAGATGAGGCAATGCCTCTCCTTCGCTGTGGGTATTCTCTGACTTCATGACCAAGGGTAAAAGCTGATACAGGGCACAGCATTCAGCCCTTAAAATAATCACAGTTTCCCACCCACAAACAGACCAGCGGAAATACGAGCCAAGTTTCTAATCTTTAACAGAGCGATAATAGACTTGCATGGCTGGTATAATCTTAGAAGCGGAGTGCTGATGAAGATTTCCAGAAGTCAAGCAGCTGATGTTCCTAAATGGGGATAGACCTATATGGGCTTTAGCTAGCAAAAAACAACAAAAACAACTCTTTTCTTTTCTTTTATAACTTTTCTTTTATAACTTCTTTTATATCGTTTATATTTTTTATTTATTGTATATTATTAATTTTAATTTTATATTGTTATTTTTATATTGTATTGTATTGTATTTTATTGTGTTGTAAGCCGCCCCGAGGCTTCGGCAAGGGGCGGCATAGAAATGTTCTAATAATAATAATAATAATAATAATAATAATAATAATAATAATAATAACAACAACTCTAATAAGTATATGGAAATATGTAAAGTTAGTGATCCAGGCTGCAGAATTTCACTTTCCTTGCTGCCGAATGTGTGTTACCTTTGTACAGATTTTTATGTCACCTTGTTTTCGGTTCCTTAACATATTCATGTCTGACTCTGAAGATTTCCATAGCATAATACTGTTTGGGTATAAATTTATACTGTGTGGTACTACTAGAATGTCCAGCAACAATTTCATGTCACTAGCTCTACATCATTTCCTTTCGGGACAGTCAGATGAAGCATCAGGAAAACAAAATTTTATGACTCCCCTCATAGATGTTAGCCTTAGTTATTCATTGGCTGCTACAGAATCCAGGACACCTTCCATGGCACCCCCAGTAAAGAAGCGGATAGCACATTTTCTCACCAGTAGCTGGGAGACAGGTTTCTGTTGGCTCTGAAAATGGTGGGTTCCATGGAGTGGAACCGTGTGTGGTGCTCAGACCCTGCCTCTGCTTCGTATCCAGTGCGTGGGGCTGGCTACTTCTCCTTTGCCACACCTCCCACGGTGGCCATTTTGTGGCAGTGCCCAGGACAGCTTGTCAAATAGCCAAAGGTGTCCACAGCCCAAAAGAGGTTGCCTACCTGTTGTTCACGCAGTACTGCAGGCTACTGTCAGGTGGGACAGTTGCCCCGCCAAGCCATGTTATACCACAGAAGAACCTTCTTGGGATTCTGCTGTAAACTGAAGGGCAGGACACATTACATGAGACACTCTGCTCTGCTGACGTGGGCTGCTGCTGCAGCAGCGATACGCTAGCTCCTGGCAGATGCGCTCCTTTGCTAACACTCAGCAAGTTATACGCACAGCAGGGCTTGAGTGCTCCTTGTCATATCGAGCTGTAGTAAACCCCCCCCCCACCAAAAAAGAGAAAAAAATGCGAGGACAAAGCTGAGTAGTAAAGACCCAGAGTGCTCTTCTGCCTCCGTTAAGTGAAGAGCACTTCTGACCCATCGCATTTCCAGCCAGAGCCCAGAGTGCCAGAAAGGCTTGCAGCCTTCCAAGCAAGCTCTCCTTGATGCTTCGCTTGCAAGAGACCCCAGTGGAGGGAAGCAGGCCTGGCTGCGGACTGCCCTCTGTGGCTCAGTGCTGGGTAGGGTTCCAGCTGAGGAAGAGCCCAGGCAGCGCTGTGGCATGAGGCAGCCAGTGTGGGGACCCCCACCCCCCCAGGCCTTTCAGCACAGAACAAGCTCCGTCTTAAAAGAGCCCCCTCCCTTGGTTGCAGAAGCCATCTTGCTTTGCTGGAATTACAGGGATTTCTTTGCTCCGGCAAACCTCAGGCCAAACACACACTTCTTGCCAGAAAACGCCACCTGCTCGCCCACTCCAGCAGGACAAGAACAAATTAGTGATTACTCATAGTTTGGGAAAAAACACAGAAAAGCAGGCAGAGTCTGAGAAAGAATGACTCAGGCTGCGGGCATGAGGAAGGAGGGGCACCCTGAAAGTGGACATCTCTAGAGAAGACAACATGTCACTTCTGCAAGCAATGCTTGAAGTGCCCTCTGCTTGCCCGGGAAGTCAAACAAATAAACAAACTGCTTTGCAAGATCATGCATCATAACTAAGGAATTAACCATTACAATTACAATGCAATCCTATGACTAATCTGATCCCGAGAGGCCAGAGCTTAGTAAAGTGCCAGACTTTGACATCCAACCCCAAGGCCACTTCTGGGCCAGCGGCCCCTGACACCAATGCCTCTTGGCTTTTCCACTGTACCCAACAAACAGAATTCCAATTGACTTTCCCTACTATTACAGATACAGCACTTTTTCTGTACCATCTTCCTGCTAAATTCCATGCATTCACTGGGAAGTTGTCTGAAGGAGAAGAGGTTCAGTTTACGTGCACAGGCCATTAAAAACAATCAAGCAGCCCTTAACTCCACTTCACTGATTATTTATTTAGCACTAAGTATTTAGTCATATAATAAGATTATCCAATACGATCCATGAAGTGTTAAAACAAACATTTTGCAGTCTGCTCAGAAAGAAGTCCTGCTGCTTTCAGTGGGGCTGAATCCCCCATCACATGTGCAGATTTGCAGTCTTAATGAAAAAGGGGTGTATTTTAGGAGGGCTTGTTTACCAAAAAATGGCTAAAATGGTGATAAACAAAAAGAGCTTTCTCCACCACTTTAAAAAAAATTAGTATTATAGCACCATAACATGATACTTACTGGTCAAAACTCTGCTTCCCTTTAAAATGGTTTTACCAACAGGACTTACTATGGTTTCTGTGATTGCATATTTCCTTGTCAAGAAAACTCAGGGGGCCCTGTCAAAGGAACACCTTTTAAAAAGGGGGTATCTTGCACTTTTTTTGGTACTGTCCATGGGGTTTTCATGGCAAAGATACTGGAGTGGGTTGCCATTTCCTTCTCCTTCTGCTAGAGGAGATCAACCCTGACTGCTCTTTAGAAGGCCAGATAGTGAAGATGAAACTCAAATACTTTGGCCACCTAACGAGAAGGAAGGACTCCCCGGAGAAGAGCCCAGTGCTGGGAACAATTGACGGGAAAAGAAGAAGGGGACGGCAGAGAATGAGGTGGCTGGATGGAGTCACTGAAGCAGTTGGTGTGAGCTTAAGTGGACTCCGGGAGATGGTGGAGGACAGGAAGGCCTGGAGAAATGTTGTCCATGGGGTCATGATGGGTTGGACACGACTTTGCGACTAACAACAACAACATCTTGCACTTTTCTGTGTTCCCAAACACCATTAGTCCCTGAGATTAGCATTAATTTGAGGGGTGGGGGAGAGGTCTTGCTATTAATCTCACCACCTCTTTTCCATGAGCAATGACGATTTCCACTTTTTCATGACATTTGTCTCTGACAGCTGTCGCACGAAACCAAAAGGAAGAAAGAACCTATTTGGAGCCTCATTGGGCCAATGTCCAGGATTCATACCCGCTGTGCTAGGATGACAGGCACCCCCTGGACACTGACTCAGTCCAGGCTTCCAAGTGCTGTACTGGTTATGGATCTCAGAAGCTCTGAAGTTGCACAACTGCAGCAAAAATGTAAAACAAAAGACCCTGAATATATTGTGAGTGCAAAGAAACCAAGGTAGGCCCAATTGTCCGTCAGATGCACTGTGCATTGTTTAAAGAACAACCAACCCACGCCAGGTTATCGCGACATTTGTGTGCTCCCTTTTGCGCTTGTTAATCGACTTCTTCTAAAGGTCCCAATGCAGCTGGACATAAATGATGTGCATTTGTAGTTATTCAAACCAACAATATGTTGTATATCATTTGCAGTGGAGGAGGAGGAGGTTTATCAGTGGCTACCTCCTTCTCGGAGGCAGCTTGCCTGCGCACACAGGAGTTGGTGAGGAGCTTGGCCTTGCCCCCATCCTGCTTGAGGGATCCTGCGGGCAGCTGGTCTGCCATCGTGTGTGCAGAGTGCTGGACTAGATGGACCTTTGGTCTGACCCAGTATGGCTTTTCTGATGTTCTTAAAATTGGTTACATATTCTAGAAATTACCCATATTTTAATTCTGCTTCCTTGAGGGGGTGTCACACAGAGGTGGGTAGAGACCTGTTCTCCCCTGCAGAGGAGGGCAGTATGCGCTCCAATGGAGCAAAGCTCAGGGAGCAAAGGTTCCATTTGGATGCCAGGAAGCACTTCCTGACAGTCAGGACCCCGAGGATGTGGAATGGGCTTCCCCGAGAGGTGGTTGAGGCCCCATCGTGCGGGTGTTCAAGG